CTAATCTAGACTAGAGGTCTAATCAATTGTGTTAAATGATACTAATGAAGACAATCTATAACTTCTCTTTAGGTAAAATGACAGAAAAATGGCATTTCGGACAATTTACTCACAGCTCGCAATTCGCATTGCCGCACGTACATTAAATGTGCGTTGTATCGACTCGGACCACTGAATTTCGAGCAGTGTTTTTGTCAGTAAATCACTGCAAAAATATTATTTTCATAATGTATGAAGGTCTATTTTTGATTCCTGGTATAAATTTCGTTATTGAGAAGTCGAATGTACTACATTTTAGACGAGATGGCTGATGTTTGTTCACATTCTTTCGTCCTGGCCGTAAATTAGCAGACTATACTGCTAGTGCTACCACGCAGCAGCTCGTCGCTCAGCTCTACTAGTCTCTAGCAGTACAGTTCCTGGGTAAAATCTACACTGGAAGTAAATTTATGTTATTTTGGTGCAATAAACATGGAACCTGTCAAAATCAAGTCAAAATCAGACAAACAAAATGGCTTGCTTACATTTTGGGCTCAACTTCCACTGCAACTTTTTGATTTTGCTGAGTTTTTTAATTTTAAAATATATTTTTTTAAATTTTAATTTGTATTTTATCAATTTTTTTAAACAGCCGCGCGCCACTCCGACTGATCGCAAGCGCCACAAGTGGCGCGTGCGCCGCCAGTTGAGAAGGCCTGTTCTAGACATTGGTTAATATGCGCTCAAATAAGACCTTTTTAATGTCGGCTGCTAGAATTTGTTTACCCCGTATTCGCTGAAGTATATAATAATCTACATTTCATGTGAGTTTCAGCTCATTTAAAGCAAATGGGAATTAGCGGCGAATGTATTAAAGACTGACACCCCTTCACCGATATACTCTTCATGCTATGCGCTACTAACTAAAATATTTGTTCTGGACATTTGTTGATGTACACTCAAATAAGACCTTTTTAATGTCGGCTGCTACAATTTCTGCACCCTGTATTCGCTAAACTATATAATAATCTACATTTCATGGGAGTTTCAGCAAAATTAAGGCAAATGGGAATTAGCGGCGAATGTATTAAAGGTCGAAACCCCCTTCACCGATATACTCTACATGTTATGCGCTCCTAACGAATATATTTGTTTTGGACATTGGTTGATATGCGCTCAAATAAGACCTTTTTAATGTCGGCTGCTAGAATTTGTGCACCCCGTATTCGATGAGGTATATAATAATCTACATTTCATGTGAGTTTAGGCACATTTAAAGCAAATGGGAATTAGCGGCGAATGTATTAAATGCCGAAACCCCTTTGCCAATATACATGTACTCTACATGTTATGCGCTACTAACGAATTATTTGTTTTGGACATTGGTTGATATGTGCTCAAATAAGACCTTTTTAATGTCGGATGCTAGAATTTGTTTACCCCGTATCTGCTGAAGTACATAATAATCTACATTTCATGTGAGTTTCAGCTCATTTAAAGCAAATGGGAATTAGCGGCGAATGTATTAAAGACCGACACCCCCTTCACCTATATACTCTACATGTCATGCGCTACTAACTAAAATATTTCTTCTAGACATTGGTTGATATGCGCTCAAATAAGACCTTTTTAATGTCGGCTCCTAGAATTTGTGCACCCCGTATTCGATGAGGTATATAATAATCTACATTTCATGTGAGTTTAGCACAATTAAAGCAAATGGGAATTAGCGGCGAATGTATTAAAGGGCGAAACCCCCTTCACCGATATACTCTACATGTTATGCGCTACTAACTAAAATATTTGTTCTGGACATTGGTTGATATGCGCTCAAATAAGACCTTTTTAATGTCGGCTGCTAGAATTTGTGCACCCTGTATTCGATGAGGTATATAATAATCTACATTTCATGTGAGTTTAGGCACATTTAAAGCAAATGGGAATTAGCGGCGAATGTATTAAAGACCGACACCCCCTTCACCGATATACTCTACATGTTATGCGCTACTAACTAAAATATTTGTTCTAGACCAGGCCTTCTCAACTAGTTTATTAGAAGTGCCAAAACAAAATTTTATTAAGGTTGAAGTGCCAACCTGTATGTTTGGTGACTGTGTTGCGAGGGAGTGTAGTGACCGAGGCGATAGATGGGGTCCAGGGGCGAAGCCCCGGAAGCTAGTAGATTTTAGGGCTTTTTTAAGGCCCAGATGTGGCTGATTTAACACCTTTTTATTCCATAAAATATCAATCATAATTTCATATTGGTGTGAAATAATTAGGACAATTCCTGGGTAAAATCTACACTGGAAGTAAATGTATGTTATTTTGGTGCAATAAACACGGAACCTGTCAAAATCAAGTGAAAATTAAACAAACAAAATGGCTTGCTTACATTTTGGGCTCAACTTCCACTGCAACTTTTTGATTTTGCGTGAGTTTTTAATTTTAAAATATAGTTTTTTTAGTTTTAATTTTAATTTATATTTTATCAATTTTTTTAAACAGCCGCGCGCCACTCCGACTGACCACAAGCGCCACAAGTGGCGCGCGCGGCCGCCAGTTGAGAAGGTCTGATCTAGATCTATATCTACTATATTATCATTACTCATTCAGAGTAGAATATCCAATTTGAGTGAGTGAGTAAACTAGACCACTGTAGCTACATCATAATTACTATTAGTCATTCAGGGTAGAATCTCTGATTAACATGATGATGATGATTCAGGGGCGGCTGAGCGACTTCCAAAGTGGGGGGGGGGGGGGGGTGTTACACCCACAAATGTAATAACGCCCACAAATGTAATAACACTTTACCCACAAATGTAATAACACTTTACCCACAAAAGTAATAATTTCACCCACAAATGTAATAACCACTTTACCCACAAATGTAATAATTTTGAATCACCCACAAACGTAATAATGACTTTACCCACAAATGTAATAAATTTGAAGTGATATTTTGTCGAATTTTTTCAAAACTAAAACCGTGTAACAGGGCTCGAATTACCCACCGGCAATCAGCAATTTGCCGCCTTGCCCCTCTCACTGGCCGGAATGCCCTTTTCAAAATCAAACCGCTTACGGCCACAATATTTAAATCCACAAAAGTTTTGCTAACATTATAGTCATAAGTCAACCCCGACTTGTAATGTTCAAAAAGACTTTGTTGCCCCAACTGAGATCTAAAAACATTATTAATCAGCAAGGTTTTGTTGCCCCTACAGAGCTTTAAAAACGATAATAATTGGCAGGGTTTTGTTGTCCCTACGGAGATCTTAAAACGGTAATAATCGGCAAGGTTTTGTTGCCCCTACGGAGCTCTAAAAATGATAATAATCGGCAGGATTTTGTTGCCCCTAACGGAGCTCTAAAAATGATAATAATCGGCAAGGTTTTATTGCCCCTACGGAGCTCTGAAAACATTAATGATCGGCAAGGTTTTGTTGCCCGTACGGAGCTCTAAAACAATAATTATCGGCAAGGTTTTCTTGCCCCTTCGGAGCTATTAAAACAATAATAATCGGCAAAGGTAATCGGCAAGGTTTTATTGCCCCATACGGAGCTCTAAAAACAATAATAATCGGCAAGGTTTTGTTGCCCGTACGGAGATCTAAAAACAATAATTATCGGGAAGGTTTTGTTGCCCCTACGGAGCTCTAAAAACAATAATAATCGGCAAGGTTCTGTTGCCCCTACAGAGATCTTAAAACAATAATTATCGGCAAGGTTTTGTTGCCCCTACGGAGCTCTAAAATGATAATGGCAGGGTTTTGTTGCCCCTACGGAGATCTAAAAACGATAATAATCGACAAGGTTTTGTTGCCCCTACGGAGCTCTAAAACAATAATAGTTGCTCGACTTCTCTGAGCATCTGGCTGGCCAGTTGAAATTATGATTGGAAGAAGTCTTTGATGGGGAAAAGGGGGTGATTCTTCGTGCTACCCCAACGATTCTTCCCTGTTGTATCGTCGATTCGACATGCATGGCGAAGAGAAAGTACCGCACTACAGCGCCGTCTCTTTGCTGAGTTTTTTTCTCGATCAGCAGACATTTCAACTAGACCAGTAGTAATTACAAGCCGAGTAATACAACCGTTTTAGCTCACCTGCATTCTGATCGCGGTCTCCCTGCTTAATTTGTTCGATTGAGAGACGTTTCAGCTAATTTATAACCGAGAAAAACAACTTTATCTCCAAAAATGTCACGCTGCAATACACTACTGTGAACACTGCACTATGAACGGCTGAGCTGAGCTCATCGCGAGTTTTCCCCGTGCCGCGAAGTTCAAGTTACGCTAATTATCAAAACAAAACATAGGCGAAGCCAGTGTGTCAGGATCTGCAAGACGATCAATTTTACAGTACCAAACGTCAATATTTCAAGGAAACCAAACATCGGGAAGTAACCAATGCTCATACTAATTGAAAGAATGTTCATTTCTTTATTGTAAATTCATTCAATATCACAAAAATTGCAAAATCTACTAAAAAAATGACCTATGTTTGTGTACGTATTTACATTAAAATAATATGTTGTACTTCCGGGTTTAGGAACAGTCCACGGAAATACGTCACATATACTACGTCACGAACAAGAATATCAATGCTTCCGGGTTCCTCTGCTTACACTTTTGATCTTTCTAAGTCTAATAATAATTTAACAACACATGCAAATTTCTGTCAATCAATATATATGCTCAGTGGCTGCCGGGCTCACGATCAATTGGGCAAAAAGAATTTCTGTTTCGGTTTAATAAAATTTGGAGTGGACTATTAGGCTATTATTATTATTATTATTATTATTATTATTATTATATTATAAGCATTCCAACAATAGCAAACATGCATATTTTCATCACTTTCTTCCAAATTCACCTTTAGATATTGAGGGCAGTAATTCTATATCAGCATATTGCTGCTTATGTTCTTCTCTACTTTTGAATGCTGCTAAAATATGCTTATGATTTTTGATGAACATTTCAACCCTCAATGCTAAATTTTGACAGTTTTCTCATTCAGTTTCAGAGTAGCAAACAGGATCGAAGCATTCTACACTGGAGGAAAAGTCTATGTAGCATCAGATGGCAGCCACATCTTCTGTACAAATGGAGATGAAGTTAAGATTCTGGATGCTGTGACAGGGAAGGCTGTTCATAGCATCAAAGATGTAAGATTTTGCACCATTTTAAAATGTTGATACTTTTTTTACCCCCCCCCCCCCAAAAAAAAAAATGTATGCAAAGATAGCTTGTGATCGCATTATCATTAGAACCGATGAACGGATTACCATCAAACTCAGGACATGGATTATTTTGCAGAGCCAATGAACTGATTATACTTAGGGGGTCATGAGGTCAAAGGTCATGGGGCTCATAATGTATGCAAAAATAGCTTGCGATCTTATTATCATTAGATCCGATAGACAGATTACTATCAAACTCAAGACATGTATCTTGCAGAGCCAATGAACTGATTAGATTTTAGGGTCATGAGGTCAAATGGTCATACATGTACCGGTATATGGAAAATAGCTTGTAATCATAATATTCTGAGGACCTGTTAATGGATTACAATCAAACTTGAATTTTAAAAATTGCTTCTGTTTTAGTTTGTAAAATCACTCTATGGTGGATGGAGGCATCATTTTCGACAGCACACAGTCGAAGATCCATCTAGTTTTGATTACAGTTTAGCTTTTTCTATACCTTGTGATGTTCGAACAGTTTCATGAATATGAATGATCAAAATGAGACAATGATTGAATAATGACCAGTATATAGCTAAGCAGAAAAGAATTGTATTAACCTTGTGAATTTTTATGTTATTTTAACAGGAGGGTGCGGATGAAGTGACATGTTTTGCTGTCACTAAAGATGATGAGGTGAGTTAAATAGCTACATTATAATTGTATCCCCCGGCAGGAGGATACTTTAGATTCAGCAGAGTCCCGCCGCCACAGCAACGTCATATTCTTGTGTGCGGTCTAACTGCCACATTCCTTGACAGATTTCTTTCAAATGTTGTATGGAGGTGTATGTTGGTATAATCTGCACACTTATAATTTGAGGTAATGCTGCCCCCAGTGTTCCGTCTCCTATAGGGTAAAAGGCCATACCGTAATAAACGTTGTATAAACCGCTCTCGTGTATTAACCGCACCTGTCTTTTTCACCCTTTTTTTAAATTTATTTTTTTAATAATTTGTTTAAAGTAGATATTCATTGATTTTAAAAACTAACTTTATTTTCATTATTGCAAAGTTGAACTTTGATTCGACAAGGTTATCAAAATTCAATGCTTGGAAACATTCGAAGTAATGATTATTATAAATTACAAAATGCTTAAATACAGCCCCGGCATAGCACCTGAAGAGCTCTCCGAACGCTGCTGAGATATGTGAGATCACAGTATGGACATGACTTGCACAAGCAGACGATGTCCCATGACATCTCACACATTTTCAGTGCATGTGTTTTCATCTTCTCTTGAGTTCTTTCTCTTACTTCACTACCGTCAGGCTAAAAGTATAATCTATTGCCTCACTCTAAACCCAGCGCATGTTTTTATTTTGATGACAAATGCAGCGATACAAAAATAAAGGAATCTGTCGCTTGTAAACAAAATAAGACGCCATTGTATATTCAGCTGCACACACCGGGTATGTTCGGCGTTTCAAGAGGGAACAAATGCCGTCCTTAATATCATTCCAGGGGTTTTTCAATTTGAAAGTCTGGTTTCTTTGATTGTTAATTAACCCCTATCCTGTGTATTTACAAGCAAAAGATTTTAGTTATCAGAATCGGGTCATATCCTCTTTTGCATGGTTTGAAATGCCATTACATTTATATACACTAAACTCATTATAATTTGAGAAAAAATAGCTTTGCAATTATGTTCATTCTCTATGGGATGTCGTCTGCTTGGGCGGTGTTGGTCCATATAGTGACATCATTAAAACATCGCTATTTTTCCGGCGAATCTCTCGTATATCCCAGCTGCTATGGAGGTGGTTGTATTTGTATTTTTATAAATCACCCGATATGTAGTTGACCTAAAACCTGTTCGATGGCCATCTGTTATCTTACCAGTTTCTAGTGATACATAGATTGACATATTTGTGATCTTCTTTGAATTTCACCTTTAAATAATTTTTTTGAATAATTTTTTTCTTCTCCCCCTGTTCAATAAGTGTTGTAACATCACAGATATTTTCAATTCTGTTTGAACGCTAGTCAAAACAGGACGGTTTTCGGTTAAAAAAAAATTAATCACATTTGCCAAGGTTTGATTGCCTGATTAGGCTAATAGTGGTTGGGACTGGGCAGGTGCTGGGCCGACCAGCACGGGGGATTTTCGCCCACCATTCCTGATGAAAAACACTACTTTCATCCTGCACTAATTTGAGATGAAAAGTTGTACTTACATTCATATTTCCGTCTTTAATCATGTTTTATTTGCAATTGTGTAAGAATCATGATATCAATTTGTCTTTAACTGATTATTTTTTGAAGATTTGTCGGGTGTTGTTGTCTAAAGATGAGATTCATGCAAGCTGCCATATTGGATTGCAGATCAGCCTTGTTCATTACTGTTTTTATAAGTGTTTATTTTTAAGAGGTTAAATATTTTTTCCCATGATTTTCCAGAATAAATAAATAAAAATACTATAATATATACTTATTTCATGATTTATATTGTAAAGTTTGTCAGAAATTGTTACACTTATGTATCATGTAACCAACACTTGCATGTACACACACTCAAAATATGAAATACACTCAAATTCCCAACGCCCCCCACCAAACATATATTTAGAATCGACGAACATCCATCTTCACGATAGTTAAAATCATCAATCAACCAGAAATATTACAATAATAATGATCAAAAAATAAAATATTGTATATTTGTAGGTTCGTGACAAGTATCAACATAATATCGCTTGATTTTTAATTTTTTTTCTTCATCGTCACGTATTTCTTCCATCTCACTAGATGAATTATCACATTTGTATCCACTTCACATACGCCAACAATCCCAACACAATTATGATCGACTTGACAGTGACAGAGCACAATTCCGGGCCCAAAATTCATATTTAGCATCATCAGTATTACATGAAAATTTACCAGATTCAAGATTATGATATAACATTCACATTAGAAATATTTTTTCTGATGTCAGAACTTCCGATGGATGATTTGAAGGCGTTGAAAACGAGTGTCATTTTCAGGACGATAGTATATAACTAAACCAAGAACTTAAGCCTCGGTGACACAATTAAACCGCTGCTAAATGCAGAGATTTGTTTACCGGTACCTGGAATTGCAGCATGACTTATGTCTGTAACGTATATAAACAGCATCCCCGATTTTTGTCTCGCCGAGACATAGGCGCCGCTTTTCTTGTTTATGTTTACCAGCGGTAAAAAAAGTGCGGTTAATACACTGTTAATTACGGTATTTTGATAGATGGTGTGAGTGCACTCTGCAGATGGATTTTTTCTGAATTTTGTTTAGAGATGTATCTTGGTACAATACATCTTAACTTTTTAGTGATGCTGCCCTCATTGTTCCATCCTTCATAGGGTCAAAAGTCGTTTGTCCATTTTTGCCACATTTCTTATCGGATTTCTCTCAAATTTTGTTTGGAGGTGTATCTTGGTCAATTACATCTTTAGTGTTTCGTGATCCTGCCACCTGTGTTCTGTCTGTTATAGAGTCCGAAGGTCATATTTGGGGGATATCTTGTGTCGCTCTGCAGGTGACAGTTCTTTCTACAGAGATGCATTATACTCTACCACATCTACACACATTGTTTTGGTGATGCTGCTCCTAGTCTTGACAATAGTCTGAGCCACTAGTGGCGAGTCCTACGTCACCCTCTTGTTTCAGGGAGGGGAGAGGGGATCTTTGTCCCTCCTTCGAACATAAGGATGACACAAAATCGTTTCCACTGCCGGGGGATACATTCGCATTGCGCGGCAATACAGATTGCGATATTTCTAGTTATACCTGGGTCGAGAGGGAAAATGTTGGAAAAACGTCTTCCAAGGATGTAAGCATCGAGCAAAGATCGATACCTTGGTCTCTTAGATGAGAGTCATGGGCATTTAGCCATTCACCAATCACTTTGATAAATATCTTCATAAGTATGGTGTTGATGAAGCAATCTTATCAACTGTAATTAGCTTCTTGAGTGATCGAACCCAGGCAGTCAGAATAGGTCCCTGTATCTCCGAAGAATTATCGCTGACCTGCGGAGTGCCTCAAGGGACCAAGCTGGGTCCTTTGATATTTCTAACGCTGGTAAACGACGCTCTGATGGATTTCGATCAACGGTGGAAATATGTGGACGATTTGAGCATTCTTGAGGTACGCTCCACTTCTGGCGTCTCGACGTTAGCGGATCATCTCGACAAGCTGACACTTTGGAGTAAGGAAAATGACATGAAATTCAACGGTCAGAAAAGTAAGACCATGTCAATTGACTTCTCCAAAAACAGAGCGAATCCTCCGAGCTTACATCTGAATAATCGACCGATGGAGGACACGAATTGCCTGAAGCTGCTTGGCGTTCTTATACAGGCGAATCTCAAATGGGATAGCCATATCTCTGACGTGGTCTCAATAGCTGGAAGGAGAATATTCACGATTTGTCGTCTGCGGAAAGCGTCAGTCCCGATGCACGACCTAGTGAATATATATTCCACATACATTCGTCCGTTATTAGAATACGCATCTCCATTGTGGTCTACAAGCATAACAACAAATCAAATCAATGATATTGAGAGGATCCAAAAGCGTATTCGCATCATCCTGAGGGATCAGTACATCTCCTATGAACACGCTTTGGAAACACTTGGCATCAATCGCATGTCCGAGCGACATGAGCAGTTGCTGCTCTCCTTTGCCAAGAGCCTGTTGGCTTCTTCCAGGCATCGAGACTTCCTTCCGCCCCTACGCAGCGAAATATCCTCCCGGCGTCTACGTTACTCGCACCACTTGGATACCCCCATGTGTAGGACTGCTCGATACCGCTCGTCAACAATGCCCTCTGCAATAAGACTGCTTAACGCGAATCTATAAATCGTTTCATTATTTTATTAATTCATTAGTGTTCCTTTTTTTTTTTAAACTTCAATCGTATGCCCTTGCTAAATATTAATGTTGTGCTTTTTATCTCTAATATAATGTGCAATATCTTATACGAAATTATGTAATATTGTTATTCAAATATCAATTTTTTCTTGTTTCAGATGAATGATGTCATTACAATTAACAATAGCAATTGTTAAATACACTCTGTACTATATTTTTTAGACAAATAACTTTCTTATTCTCATGCATATTAATAGATATTTGGTTTTAAACAAACCGGTATAATAATACGTTTGCAATATACACTTTTATCCAATTTACTCTCAGACTGCCTTAAACTGTAAGCATATTTTAATCCGTTGTTTCATTAGGTCATTAGTGTTCCCTTCTTTTATATATTTTTTTTGATACAAATTTATGCCCTTGCCAATTATTTGACTTGGGTCTTTTTCTCCAATGTAATGTGCAATATCTAATTCGAAATTACACTATATTGTTATTTAAATACTCATTTTAATTTTATTTGAACAACTTTCTCGATCTAGATGAATATTGTCATTACATTTATATTAAAGGGGAAAACGGAATAGAGACTGTCATTTTGACTTTTACGGTTTAATTTCATCCCATCCAATAGGTTTTTATGCCTCCGTTACGAAGTAGCCGGAGGCATTATGTTTTCGGGTTGTACGTACGTACGTCCCGTTCTCGTGATCGCGTTATCTGAAGAACCGATTAATGGATTCCTGCCAAACTTTGGTCATGTATGTATCTTGCAGAGCCGATGAACTGATTAGATTTTGGGGTCACAAGGTCAAAGGTCAAAGGTCACAGGGCTCATTATGTATGCAAAAACAGCTCGTGATCGCGTTATCTGAAGAACCGATTGATGAATTCCTGCCAAACTTTGGTCATGTATGTATCTTGCAGAGCCAATGAACTGATTAGATTTTGGGGTCACGAGGTCAAAGGCCAAAGGTCACAGGGCTCATGTATGCAAAAACAGCTTGTGATCGCGTTATCTCAAGAACCGATTGATGGATTCCTGCCAAACTTAGGTCATGTATGTTACTTGCAGAGCCGATGAACTGATTAGAATTTGGGGTCACGAGGTCAAAGGTCAAAGCACAGGGCACATTATGTATGCAAAAAATAGCTTGTGATCGTACAATCATTCGAACAGATTGATGGATTCCTGCCAAACTTCATTTATGTATCTTGCAGAGCCAATAAACTGAGTAGATTCTTGGTTCATAAGGTCAAAGGTCATTGGCTCATTATGTATGCAAAAATAGCTTGTGAAAGCATTCTCATTAGAACTGACAGATGAATTACTATTTAACTCAGGACATCTTGCAGAGCCAATGAACTGAGTAGATTTTATGGTCATGAGGTCAAAGATCAAAGGGTCATATATGTATATGAGAAATTGCTTGTAATCATGATATTCTGAGAACCTGTTAATGGATTACAATTGAACTGGAATTTTTAAAATTTCTTCTGTTTTGGTTTCTAAAATTGCTCTATGACGGAGGCATCATTTTCAACTACGTGCAGTCGAAGTTCCATCTAGTTTTTTAATGCTTAATTTCATTTTTTGTAATAGAAATTTTTGTTTAGCAATTGTTAAATACTTTCTCAATTCCTTCGCTCAAACAACTTCCTATTTTCTTCTCCATTCTCTCCTTCCCACCGTCTTGGTTTTTCAACATGAAAGTATATTATTACATTACTGTATAACTTTGTTTTGCAATTTCGATTTCATCTTACAATGACTTAAAATATGTATTTTAGGTTTGTATATGTTTATATCTCTCTATATTTTTAACTTGTTTATAAATTGAACATTTTCAGCCTGCGAGCTGCTTGTTTGATGTGATTTCTCAATAAATCAAATCAATTCAATCCAATTCAATTTAATAATAAATATGAATATTACTGTTGGTCTAAGGGTAGTGCAGTTTAGTTTTATGAAGTAATCAGTCTAAGCTTTTTAGGACATAGCAAGCAGAGTGAGGATCTCCTTTTAATATATATGTGTTTGTCTTTTTGCTTTGGTTTAGATTCTTGCGGTAGCATACAGGAACTCATTACTGAAGCAGTGGAACTGGAAAGATGGTTCATGTACTAGGACTTGGCAGGTAAAATAGGGGTAGTGTTGTTACATCACGGATATCTCTAATTCCGTTTAACCGCCAGTCAAAACTGGACGGTTTTCGGTTACAACAATTTTTTTTTTTAAGTGTTTTTTATTTTTTTAATTTTTTTTAAAAATTTGTGTTTTAATTGGAAAATCATAAGAAATCACATAATTAGAAACTAAATCACTGAACGAAAACGGAGACTTTACTATCGGACATGCTTTGGAACAATGACTGGGTTTCACTTTGTTTATGAAGCTAATAGTACGCACGTGTATTCATGTTTATAGCTCACGATCGTGATATTGCGGAGGTCAGGATTTGGGATTTAAATGGCAGCAGTGCTGTATTGTGCATGTATTTCAAGGCTGGGAACTTAGTTTTACGAGTCAACTTCTCAATCTACAATCTTGCAATTGATTGTTATCGTGTACATTGTTCCTCTGCAATTCAACAGTTAGGGCTGACTTATGATGATTATAATGTCGCCCAAACTTGTTTTTGTTCAGTGATTTTGTTTCTAATTATGTACATTATTTGTTGAATTATTATTAAAAAATAATAATAATAATAAAAATTATTTAAAAAACGGGAAAAGAAACCGTCCAATTCAAAACGGATAGTGCCATGGACAGTCGGATACCGGATGGTTAAACGTTTAACTACAGCACTAAATAGGGGCTTCAAGATTGATTGGCGCCGTCTTATAAAGAGTTGATATTGACTTATTTGCGATTAATATCAATTGCAACTGAATCATAAGAGATAGGTGACTGCAAACTTGTGATTGATTCGAGGACTGGCAATTCATTCGTATCTATCACAACTCTTTATAAGACTTAATGTGAAATCACAAAAAAGAATTAGAAATTAGCTCGATCACGCTGAAAGTCACATGCATTGCAAAAAGAAATAGGTATATGGGACTAGTCCAGAGCTGCCAACCATTACGTTTTTCCCTGGAATTATTCTGTTATTTACTCCCAAATACTGTAGTACCGGTACGTTTGTTCTTCCCAAAGTACTTAAAAAAAAAAAAATTATATATATATTTTTTGGGGGGAACATCAACCAAAAGTCCTAAAATGTTAATCACTACTTCAATAGTAAACAAAGAAAAAAGTTAAAGGCGTAAATATTCTCAAAAAGAATGAAACGCTGTTAATACCAAACAAACAACAACAACAAAAGACTTTACCTACTTGTAAATAAACTATAGGTCCTAATATGGAAATATAAGCATGAGAAATGCACATTTCTGCATTGGAAGTGTGTCGCGCGTGAGTAAGTTTCTTTTTAACGAATTTTCTGTTTTTTGCTCTAATTTTTTATGCCTCCGTTACAATGTAGCCGGAGGCATTATGTTTTTCGGGTTGTCCGTCCGTCCGTCCGTCCGTCCGTACGTACATACGTACGTCCTGTTCTTGTGATCGCGTTATCTGAAGAACCAATTGATGGATTCCTGCCAAACTTTGGTCATGTATGTATCTTGCAGAGTCGATGAACTGATTAGATTTTGGGGTCACGAGGTCAAAGGTCACAGGGCTCATTATGTATGCAAAAACAGCTCGTGATCGCGTTATCTGAAGAACCGATTGCTAGATTCCTGCCAAACTTTGGTCATGTATGTATCTTGCAGAGCCAATGAACTGATTAGATTTTGGGGTCATGAGGTCAAAGGTCACAGTGCACATTATGTATGCAAAATCAGCTCGTGATCGCGTAATCTCAAGAACCGATTGATGGATTCCTGCCAAACTTAGGTCATGTATGTTACTTGCAGAGCTGATGAACTGATGAACTGATTAGATTTTGGGGTCATGAGGTCAAGGTCAAAGGTCATGCGGCTCATTATGTATGCAAACATAGCTTGTGATCGCATTATCATTAGAACAGATTGATGGTTTCCTGCCAAACTAAGATCATTTATGTATCTTGCAGAGCCAATTAACTGAGTAGATTATTGGTTCATAAGGTCAAAGGTCATGGGCTCATTATGTATGCAAAAATAGCTTGTGAACTGAGAACTGACAGATGGATTACTATTTAACTCAGGACATCTTGCAGAGCCAATGAATTGAGTAGATTTTAGGGTCATGAGGTCAAAGATCAAAGGGTCATATATGTATATTTGTTTGATTGATTTTATTTCTGCGTTCAAAAATATACAAATTCAAAGTCAAAGTACAAAATTTCGAACAATAACAAATACAATGAATACAATGTTTACAAAAGTAATTAAATGAAAAATCATGTTCAATTATATCATTCGATAAACATGTACGAAGCATACAATAACATAAGAAATATGAAATATTTTCAATAAATTAGAGAGGTAATTTGGAACGCAGGAGACCACCATCGTGAGCGGTTAGGCTGGAGATGGATGGCGGCCTCGTAAAAAGAATTGGCGACATAACTCTCTTCGAAAAACTGAGTGACCAAGAGGGTGCGGTGCAAGTGCAGGTGCAGTGAGCAGTTGCATGATAAAGAATAAATAAGTCACGGTTTTGTTATACTAATTTAGAGAGGGGGAGCATATGATTGTATTATTTGTCGTTTAAGTGTAGCTTTTAAGGAGTAGATGGTTGAACAAGACTTTATGTGAGAAATTGCTTGTAATCACGATAATCTGAGAACCTGTTAATGGATTACAATTGAACTTCAATTTGACAAATTTCTTCTGTTTTGGTTTCTAAAATTGCTCTATGACGGAGGCATCATTTTCGACTGCGCGCAGTCGAAGTTCCATCTATTTTTTTTTTTTTTTTGCCATCATGTTTCCTTTTTGGGGGGTTGCACAGGTTGGCAGCTCTGGATTACTTTTACATGGCATAAAAATGATGAAATTTAGGTCCAAAATTTCAGCCATGGGAGAATGAATAGAACAAGAAAGGTCACAATATTTTGTCTTACCTTTATGAGAACTCGACCTTCTCTTTATTATGAAACAAAGAATACCCCACCCTGCACCAATACAACGCATAAGGGTTACAGTCAGATCAGGGTCAGGGTTAGACAGTTGCTTGCTGAGGGAGCTTTTGATGGTGTATGATGGTGTTTGTGATTATGATGATGACGATGATGATAAAGGTGGTAATGATAATGATGATGGTGAGGATGATGGTGATGGTGTATGATGGTGGTGGTGGAGATCTACACATAATGTTTCTATTGCTGTTTTTATTCAGTCTTTGCACAGAGGTCCAGTGGTGAGTATGGCCTTTGACTCAACGTCCACCCTCCTGGCTACGGGAAGCAGTGATAGTACCATCAAACTCTGGGACATCGTCCGCCAGTACTGCACCCATAACCTCAAAGGCTCTCAGGGCGTTGTCAGGTAGGGCACAGATGGACAAAAGCACAGTTGGAAATTCACATGACAGATATACCACTTTGGGATTACCAAAAATGTAGGCCTCATGATTAAAAAATAGTATTTAAACAAAAACTTTTAAAAAATAGTATTTAAACAAAAACCCCTAAATAGAGTGTACTTGTATTCACTTATTGTGCAATTCTCGCTATTGCTAATATATTAAAAATACCTGTGTGTTATGTTCAGGCCCCATTTTAAATGCCTTCTAGGATAGTTTGGTTACCAAGTCGCTTCCGGTCTGTTTCGCTGGGCTGTGCATGCTTACGTTGATTGTGTGTGTGTACTATATTTTCCGACAGTATTCACAGTGATTTTTCATGATTTTCAAGAATGGATCATAGCGGAAAATGTATAAAAGTGTTGTTAAACGTAATAAAATAAACATTTGGATGTGTGATGGGCAAGAGCAAGTAGAAGCATAGAAATAATAACATCAACTTTCTTTGGTTGTGTTCGTTGGCAATTGCGATAAATCTTCTTAAACAGTAAAAAACGGGACTACAATAAAGGGTGCGTTGGCTCATTGGAAGCACGGACATAGTATGCTTTGGTGGGGTATTCAAAAGTTAATGTATTCTGTGTCCTCTTACTTGAATTGCAAAATCATTAGCCTCGTAGCCATTGTCTCCCAAACCATTGAAAAGATCATTATAGCTGTCTAATTTCTTCCCATTTGATTCCTCAATGTTTGTCTCAAAGGGAATGTGAGCTCTATGACCAAGATCTTCACCATGGTCTCCCAAATCCTTACTAGGTCAGGGCGTTGTGTCGTAATAAGGATATGAGGGGGAATGGTACCATGCAATAGTACTATTGTCAAGGTTGGCGTATATGTTCACATAATCCAGGGGGGGGGTGATTCCTTAGCTGTTATATACAAATATCATAGAATGTTGTTATGATGCAATTTGTATCTTTCAAGAAACACTGTACAATTTACCAAAATGTGGTGGAGGCTGTCGCTCTTTTCACTACATCAAATGTATCTTCTATTCTACTAAGGTTTCGTTGGCACACTACAATAGACGACTGCTTCTGTGTTCATTGTGACTCTCTATCAATAGTGCAATCAAGAGCATGGCTTACTTGCGGGTCCCATTCTGCTTACAATCTCACTAGGTTCAAAGTGTGGCCCTGCCAATAGATGTTAGACATCTGGGGTATATGCATTCCTTGGGGCATAAATAGTCAAAGAAAACAAACAGATATTTGCAGCCAAATATCTAGTGTAGATGGCCAACTTATACTCTGGTCTTATCGTAGATCTATCTATTCTCTCTAGGCTTGCTTTGACTTTGTTTTTAACATGGCTAAATATATTAGATGCCTTGTCGCCAGAAAAGGTTGGGAACAAGAAAATGATTTATAGCTGACTTATCAAAATAACTACTACACAATAATTTCGAGAAGTTCCAAAAGTCAGTGTGGTATCGTTTTTCATTACTACAAAAAGTCTTTTACAACCTTTGACTTGTCCAATTTCTTTTTCAGGAAAGATATTGCCTTAACCCCATCTCTGAACTTACTTTTATCCTCATCTGTAGTCTTTGCGACGAAGCGTATTTTTCCTCTTCTTCGTGCCTGTGAGGGTCTTCAGCTTGTGTTCAATGTACCTTTGTGAATGACTCTCTCCCACAAAATCAGGCTGTGCAGAGTAGTAAAATATAGTCTTAATAAATCTATTTGCTGCTTTAGTATACGAATGATGCATGCGCATGATTTCATTATACGATCTATCCTCACTCCAGTTGAGACTGTATGTATTGCACGAAGCTGTTAGGCTGAGTGCGATAGATACACACAGCATCAACGAGGGTGGATAAATCGTTTAATGAACGAATGAAAACATGCATCATTTGTTTTATACATCGCACACATAGATATAACAAGCGCACTTACCTCTATACCCATTTACGCATAGTGCTGAGCAAGAATAGGCCCAATATGCACACACAGTACTGAGCGCTAACCTCTATGCGCATCATGCACATGCGCTAAAAAAGCGTGCAATAGGACTGGAAAATATTGCACAGTGTTTTATGAAAAAGCGTGCAATAGGCTCAGTAAATGAATCACACGTGACCGCGCATGACCAATCATTTGATTAGGATCTGGGAGTGAGTTGTCTAATAGTGGATATACATGTGAATGGCATAGGCTCGTGATGTACAGATCAACACTGACGTATCTTGCGAGATCCTCTCCAGTTCAGAGTTACTAATTCGCACCTTCAAAAATTAATAACTTTCTTATTTTTAATCAGTTTTTGCCAAACTTTCAGTCACTGGTTTCTCTCATTTTTCTCCTCCTTTTAAAGGGAGTGTAGCTGAGCAAATACTGGCTAACGCCATCTACGTCTTCTTTTGGACAACTGCACGTAAACGAACGGACTTGATTAACGGTATTCAGCGACTTAACCTCTACATGGTCAGCGTGCTAGCGTTCGCGAAACAGACCGAAGTTCTCCGCACGCTTCAGTTTTGCGTATTTAGCACCCACGTGATTGCTGAGGTCTCGTCGTCCGTAGTCATATTACTCCTTATTGGCCCCGAGTAGGGCCACGAGAGAGACACCTAGTCTCATCATGCTACACTCCCTTTAAAATCAACTTATGGACTTCACCTTTAAGCCAGCAGCTTTCCTTTGTCAGTCATCCATAGCATAGCTTAGTGTGAACGCACCCACCTTGGCCCTGCACAGTACAAATGACAAGATGTGAAAGGGTCCAGTCAGCCCATTGTGTACTTGCAGGGTGCTTTGAACAACAGATGGAAGAAGTGACAATGACCTTATCGCCATTTTGCAAAGCCAGAAATATGTAGATTGCCTCATGTTGCACATTATATTTTATTAGTTATCATTATTTTCACCTCACAGTATTGAATCAGTAAGCTTTATTGGTCAGTACTGTATGTAATTCTGTCATTTTACACTGAAATTTATCATTTATACAGTCTTGTACAGTTTCATCCCGACTCTGAGAGACTACATCTCTTCTCCGTATCAGACGACAGTCACATCAGAATATGGGATCTACAGACTAGCAGGTAAATGATTCAAGTCTCTCTTTAGTACAAGTCACAAATGCAAGTGAATTTGTTCATGCTTTGTTTACTAATGGTTGGGGCTGGGCTAATATAAATACTTGGATGTAATATTATAGTATTAATGACTGAATTTAACGTACCCTTTTTGGTGCTCTTACTGTCAGCAAGTCTTGCATTTGATCATCATCAAGAAGTTGAAATCTTGGGAGAGTTTCTTCAGCCATTTTTGCCTTCGGTTTGGAATTTAGTACGATCAAGATTTCAGTATTGAAATTACCGACCAATTCTTTGCACACGTACGGTATCCTCGATCGCTCAAACCAGTTTTTAACTATTTTCCCCGGTAACCATGGTAACTGGAATTTTAGGACTAGCAGGTAAATGATTCAAGTCTCTTTTTAGTACAAGTCACAAATGCAAGTGAATTTGTTCATGCTTTGTTTACTAATGGTTGGGGCTGGGCTAATATAAATACTTGGATGTAATATTATAGTATTAATGACTGCTTTGAGAGAAATAGTTGTTTTTATACGCTGTATAAAACAACTATTTCTTGAACATTAAAGCAGTCATTAATACTTTTATATGCCAAAAAAAAAAAGAGTCAACTTATGACACCACTTTGGCCTTTCTCTAGTTTATCTGCACGGTTGTTTTTTATGAGTGTATCTTTGAGAGTAGACTAGATCTAGATTCTAGTCTAAGCAAGATACTTTTACAATTTTGGGGGTGGGCCGGCCCTGTGGGGAATATGGAAAAAAATCTGCGCTTTCATATGACACCTCACTTATTGAGTATCACCTTCAGGATCACGAGCAATATTAGTTTGAATCTCTGGTAATTAAAACATTGACCAATTTAGCAATGGCCAATGCATAGGGATGTGTGCAAGTGCGCAATGGCCAATGCATAGGGATGTGTGCAATCTCAACGGGGAGGATTTTAGCACTACTAGACCTACTTACTAGAATCTAGGCCTACTAGATCTACCGCATAGGCCGCACCCCAACTTTGACATTTCAAAGAGGGGAAAAAAAGAAGAAAAAACAAAAAACAAACAAACAATCAAACAAACGGACAAAACAAAATAATCGTAATTTTCTCGTAAAACACTATTTTTTTTTACAAACTGATACCAAATTCATCAATATTCTTATAATTAACGGAAGTTTAGCTAAAAAAGTGATCTCAGGCAGATTTAGTGTCCGATATATCCCTACCACAATGTACGGTGTAATGCGAAATTGCATGAAATGGAAAACAAAATGGCGACTTCGGATGGATGCTTTGCGGCAGCTCCGACAACCGGTCCCTTCCTTTACTTTTGCAATGCATTGGCACGAACTTAGAGCAAATGTTATTTTAGGAAGTTATTTTCATCTTCATGTCAACAATGCAAGATAAAATTGTCAGTAAGATGTGTGGAAATGTCCTTTACCATAGTGGTGTATATATATATATATATATATATATATTGTACCGTTCGTAGTCCCATATATGCAAATTCGTGCTGGTTTTGACTTTAGTTTTTTTTTTTTTTTTACTCTTTCCCCGCAAAGGCCGCACCCCGACTTTTTGATATTTTCTCTTCCAAAAATACTGCGGCCTTTACGCCGGCAAATACAGTATTTTATGGAGAATTTAACGTACCCTTTTTGGTGCACTTACTGTCAGCAAGTCTTGCATTTGATCATCATCAAGAAGTTGAAATCTTGGGAGAGTTTCTTCAGCCATTTTTGCCTTCGGTTTGGAATTTAGTACGATCAAGATTTCAGTATTGAAATTACCGACTAATTCTTTGCACACGTACGGTATCCTCGATCGCTCAAACCAGTTTTTAACTATTTTCCCGGTAACCATGGTAACTGGAACTTTACAACTATTATTTTAGAACTATTACATGGGTTTGGAATTTTACAGGAATAGTTAAAGTTTATGAATGCAATTTCGACCAATCAGATGGCTGGATTTCTTAAGTGAGGTATATAATCTTGTATAGCTAGTCATGTTTCGACTAAAAAAGGCCAATAGGGTGTCCCTGAGAGAGGTATTCTGTTGGACGAGGATGACCATCTAGCCGATCTGTACTGCTGTGAGCGGTAGGTATCAGCTGCCTTGTATGGGTGATACGTGGTCTGGGGTCAACCATGAATGTTGCCCTGATCAGCAGATTTCACCACACCTAATGTCGCTTTCTGTTCATCTTTCATGTGTTTTAGTTTAACTCTCTTTCCTAAATCATCCCCAAAGAGGAATTTTGTCACAGGTGCTTTGCACAAATGAGAGTAAGCCGGGTTCATATCTGGATTGATGAGTTCTTTACACAGGGAGTTCATCTCATAGTTGGCATTGGAGAGCAATGCTGAAGCATCCTGCTGTGTCTCTGTGAGGTTAGCAGACGAAAGCAGATGTGTATACGCAGTTAAGCCCCTCGTAAGGAGCTTTTGAACTATGGTCAGTTTTAGTTCACGACTTCGAGTAAACGGTGACAACTTTTACCAAATTACCGGGTTAACTTTTGGTACATCTAGGATGGGACAATTGCTCGTCAGCAAGTTCTTAGCCTAGGTTTCTTCAAGAACTTTATCCTCAAATTTTTGATTTGGCATGTAAGAAGTGGAACTAGCTACTTCATCGTCGAGTGGTGTACCCACATCTGTCTGTGCTGCAAACTTCATTGCAAAAGCAGGGATAACTGTTAGAGTCAGCATGCAAGTGCTGCCTCATTTCATCCTCAAGCACTGACTCATCTCCACCATAAACACATGTAGTGTCCTCATCTACCCCCGGCAAATTGCATGATGGGGGCTCATAATCATAACTTGTGCTTGCCTCAAATCAATCTGCCTCTGCTTGAAGTAGAGGCTCTAGCCTGCTTCTGAGCTGGTGCCGGTGGAGTTTGAGTTTGAGGGAGAGCCTCAATCATTCGCGATAACATATTCTCCAATTTAGAGAGGCAGGTGTCATAATCCACAGTTGCAGGCATTGATTTTTGTCTCGCCTGCGTAGCAAAAAGCGAGATATAGGCACCGCTTTTCCGGTGACGGCGACGGCGGCGTCGACATCAAAAACTTAACCTAAGGTTAAGTTTTTGAATTGTTAATATATTTTTAAAGTATAGGTTCTTAGTCAATGAAACTTTGACTAAAGGGTAATCAAGTATCCCCAATCATGTGAGTAGAATTTCAGATCACAAAGTCAAGGTCAAAGGTCATTTCAGGTCAACAGACTTGGACTATGTTGTAGCATCATCATTAAAAACTTAACCTAAGGTTAAGTTTTTGAATTTTTATGCCTCCGTTACGAAGTAGCCGGAGGCATTATGTTTTCGGGTTGTCCGTCCGTCCGTACGTCCGTCCGTACGTCCGTACGTACGTACGTACGTACGTCTGTACGTACGTACGTCCCGTTCTCGTGATCGCGTTATCTGAAGAACTGGTTGATGGATTCCTGCCAAACTTTGGTCATGTATGTATCTTGTAGAGCCGATGAACTGATTAGATTTTGGGGTTACGAGGTCAAAGGTCAAAGGTCACAGGGCTCATTATGTATGCAAAACGAGCTCGTGATCGCGTTATCTGAAGAACTGGTTGATGGATTCCTGCCAAACTTTGGTCATGTATGTATCTTGTAGAGCCGATGAACTGATTAGATTTCGGGTCACGAGGTCAAAGGTCAAAGGTCACAGGGCTCATTATGTATGCAAAACGAGCTCGTGATCGCATTATCTGAAGAACCGATTGATGGATTGCTGCCAAACTTAGGTCATGTATGTTACTTGCAAAGCCAAAAAACTGATTAGATTTTGAGGTCACGAGGTCAAAGGTCAAAGGCCACAGGGCTCATTATGTATGCAAAACGAGCTTGTGATCGCGTTATCTGAAGAACCGATTGATGGATTGCTGCCAAACTTAGGTCATGTATGTTACTTGCAGAGCCGATGAACTGATTAGATGTAGGGGTCACAAGGTCAAAGTTCAAAGATCACAGGGCACATTATGTATGCAAAAACAGCTCGTGATCGCGTTATCTCAAGAACCGATTGATTGATTCCTGCCAACTTAGGTCATGTATGTTTCTTGCAGAGCCAATGAACTGAGTAGATTCTTGGTTCATAAGGTCAAAGGTCATGGGCTCATTATGTATGCAAAAATAGCTTGTAATCACAATATTCTGAAAACCTGTTAATGGATTACAATTGAACTTGAATTTGAAAAATTTCTTCTGTTTTGGTTTGTAAAATTGCTCTATGACGGAGGCATCATTTTCGACTGCGCGCAGTCGAAGTTCCATCTAGTTGATATAATTTTGAAAGTATATGTTCTTAGTCAATGAAACTTGGACTATAGGGTTTTCAAGTCTCCCCAATCATGTGAGTAGAATTTCAGGTCACTAAGTTAAGGTCAAAGGTCATTTAAGGTCAACAAACTTAGACTTTGTTGTGGCATCAACATCAAGATTTTCAAAATGCTTCTTCTTCGTTATTTTTCAACTGATTTTGATTCTGATTGTTTCATATGATAGGGCTAGGAGGGGGATTTAAAACTTCTACACAGAATCGTGAAATTCATTATCTATGCTAACTTATGCAAAATTATTCGAAATCACAAAAAATGCTTCTTCTCCTTCATTTCTCGACCGATTTTGATTTGGTTTGCTTTATCTGGTAGAGCTAACTTTGGTACACTAAATTTCTACACCAAATTTTGAAATTGTTCTCCATTAATTAATAATGGTAATTTATGCAAATTTATTCCAAAAATAACAAAAATTGCTTCTTCTCCCTCATTTCTTGACCGATTGTGATTTGGTTTGCCTTATCTGGTAGAGCTAAATTTGGAACACTAAACTTGTACATGGAATTTTGAGATTTTACTCCATTGATTAATTATGGTAATTTATGCAAATTTATTCCAAAAATAATTTAAAAATCACAAAAAATGCTTCTTCTCCTTCATATTTTGACCAATTTTGATTTGATTTGCTTTATATCGTAGAGCTAACTTTGGTACACTAAACTTGTACACAGAATTTTGAAATTATTCTCCATTAATTAATTATGGTAATTTATGCAAATTTATTCCAAAAATAACAAAAATTGCTTCTTCTCCCTCATTTCTTGACCAATTTTGATTTGGTTTGCCTTATCTGGTAGAGCTAAATTTGGAACACTAAACTTCTACACAGAATTTTGAGATTTTACTCCATTGATTATTTATGGTATTTTATGCAAATGAAATGAAATTATGTCCCTTCCAGGGTATCAAATTTTTATTTTTTGACCAGTTCAAAAGTGTACCACATAAAATTTACGATATTTGTTGTTGCGAGATGCGGATGAGCGCTACCTCATTGAAGTTCTGGTTTATCATATTGAATTGCGTTATGCAGGCGAGACCGCCGAGAGCGTTTCCTTTGTTCCTTGGATTTTTTGCTTTAACTTGTTTTCAAAGTCACTTTCTTCTTGTCTCCTGCGGAACTCTTGGGTTCATGATGCGGTAGTATGTGTGTGGCAGTCGCAGGGTACTTAGACCCATGGTGTGAATCAGCCCCTGGATGTCCCGGGTCAGGGTCCTTGTCTCTGCCCACTAACTCTGTGGGTTTCGGAGGGACCGAGGCCATGACGAAATTGTAGACAATTTCTCAAAAAGGGACCAAAAAACTCAGAAATTTTTCCCAAAGGAAAACAAACGTAATAAGCTTACAGTTAGCAGTAGTTATTCGCCGGAAAACACAAAATTCCCGGAGAACAAAGCGTTGATATTTCATGAAATTTTCTGAGTGCATGAAAGAGTTACTCTTTCAAAATGGCGACAGAAGCGATAATGAGTGCTCAAGGGCGAAGAGGCCTCTCAATTAGTCTCTTCACAAGACTCATGAAGTAAAATCATAATTATTGATTTTATTTAATAGTTGAACTGAAAAAATTACTCTATGTTAGTGCATCCACACAAAAACGTATTACCGGTACTATCAATCTTACTTGGATGCTGGTGTGAAGAAATAAGATTCTTAGGGGGAAAATAGGACATTTACATTATCAATATCAAGAAAACAATTAGTGGATAGTGAGGCAATGACATCACAGACTCAAGAGTGAGTTGCCAATCCGTCTTGTGATTTTCAAATTTTTTCATGTCATCAAAAATTCATAACTTTCTTATTAGTTATCAGATTTTGCTCAAATTTTTTTTGATTGGTTTGTCTGTTTTTTCTGCTTCTATTGAAAGTAAGTTATTTTTGGAGTGGAATTACCCTTTAAGAATTGAATAAATAAATGAAATGAAATGAAATCTTCTTCAAGCTTGAAAGTTTATTACAGTATTTATCCACACATTTCTGTTCTCTGCCATTATATCACACCTCCAGTGTCATTTCACTCCATGTCTCAATGTTCCCCTTCCAGATGGTTCTTAGTTTACTTCTTGCTCTGGTATCTTCTATTTTTCCTTCCAATAAATCTTTGATGTCTTTTCATGTGGCCAAAGTATTTTGCCTTTCTTTCTTTAACCAATCAAAACAGGTTATTATCCCCTCGCCTACCAAGTCGGAGGGGATATAGTAACTAGTGCTGTAGTCAAACGTTTAACCGTCCGGTATCCGACCGCCCATGGAGTATTCCGTTTTCAATTGGACGGTTTTGTTTTCCCGTTTTTTAAAATATTTTTTTTTAAATAATTAAAAAAAAAATATGTATATATGCAGTGCGTCCCAGAAAAAACGAAACCGAGAAGTATCGATGTTCTGTCATAACTTAGTCACAACTATAATTAATGAATGATACATATTTGGAAAGCTTAGAGTCTCCTCTTTCAGTTGATGCTACTCTTGTGATGCATATTTCACGCATGAGTGATTAAAAGCAATTTGAAGGGAGGAAACCAAAAGACATTTGGCGGGCGGTATCTGAATTTCGAAGAAAAATTCACATTTCTAGAAAGTTCAGTTTCTGCCCTTTCATATGACACCTCAATCAGGAAAAATGAGCGAGGAATGACAAAGTTCTGTTGGTTTAAAGTAGTGCTTGCATTTCCATAATTTTATTAAACGAATTCGTTTTCACTGGCTGCCTGCCGTATCAATAAACAAAATTAACAAAAGACTTAACTCCGTTTCGTTGACAATCAGCCATAGACAAGAGTCTTTATGCATGGCTGATTGTCAACGAAACGGAGTTAAGTCTTTTGTCAAATCTGCTTTTTGCTACGGCAGGCACCCAGTGAAAACAAATTCGTTTGTTAAAATTATGAAAATGTAAGGGCTACTTTAAACAAACAGAACTTTGTTATTCCTGGCTCATTTTTCTTGATTGAGGTATCATATGAAAGAACAGTGATTAACTTTCTAGAAATATGAATTTTTCTTTGAAATTCAGATACCGCCCACCAAATTACTTTTAATCACTCATGCGTGAAATATGCATCACGTGAGTAGCATCAACTGAAAGAGAAGACTCTAAGCTTCCCAAATATGTATCATTCATTAATTATGGTTGTGATTAAGTTATGATAAAACATCGATACTTCTCGGTTTCGTTTTTTCTGGGACGCACTGTATATATATTTTTTTAAATTTTTTAAAAAAAAGTTTCGATTTATGCCCCTCCACCTGGCACTATGCCTGGCAATGTCTCCCAGCTCAGTAATCTGTGTGTTGACTCACCACTCCGAAACTAGAACAACACTCCAATTTGTCTGTCATCTTGGTTTAAAAGTAATCTTTGTAATAGATCTCAATATGTAGTTTATAATAATAATTCATCCAACTTTTACACACGGCATACCACAAGGTTCTATCCTAGATCCTCTACTGTTTTTAATTTACATTAATGACCTTAAACATTCTAAAAACGACAATGTTACTATTATTTGTGACAAGTTCACAAGCACAAATCAGCGCCTTCAAATGCACATCGCAGTTAAAAGACAGTCCTTTTTCACACGGACCTGGCTTGATACAGACGAGTCGGTCCCCCCCCCCCCCCAATTTTTTTCCTTTTTTTCCCTTTTTTTTCTTCTTTTTTTTCCTTCATATATATATTTTTTTAATCGTTTAACCGAAAAACGTCCGGTTTTGACTGGCGGTTAAACGGAATTGGAGATATCCGTGATGTTACAGCGCCGCCGTCCGTCAGTAACAAATCTGGTTTCCGTTTCATAACTTTAGTAATGTTTGACAGATTTTAATAAAATTTGATATGAAGGTGTACATGGTATCAAAATACAGCCCAAGTTCGATTTTGGAGTATGTAGGTCAAAGGTCATAGCTCATTGAGTATAAGAAAATTCTTTATTATATATGCGAACATGTGGTTTTCATTCAATAACGTAAGTAATGTTGAGTATGTACGTCAAAGGTCACAGCTCATTAAATATGCAAAAATTGCTAAATGTAGGCCATTTGTACCAGGCGAGGGGATGCTACATTTTGTGTTGACTTTTTTTGTTTAAGTCCTGCCATATGCAGTATTTTTTTGTTAGTTTTCATATATTTCCATGATATTCTCATCATTCTCCTGTATACCCAATATTGATTTAGCCATAGTTGCAAAGAACGCATACTATGGCCGAGATAAATGGTTTGTGTCTAATCTGTTACACTAAAACTAAATTGTATCTGATTGGATAAAGGTTTTGATTAATATTCAACGAGAGTAAAGGAAGGATGGATGTCTTTCTACCTCCAAGGCCCTCATACACTAAACAAGAAGACTAAAGTCATGTTATACAAGAGCTTGATCTCACTTCTATTTTTAATCTTGACTTTAGACCAAATGGTTTATATTCGAGTAGAATATGGACCCAAGAGTTATCAAACTGGGAGCATATTGGGGTGAACACAAATGAGCCACTCATGACTTGCAATATTCATTTTGTACTAGTGATGTTGATTTGCAATGAATGATTCTCATGATATTTTCTTGTTGTCTATAATTGCAGCTGTCTATCTGTGTTAGAGACTCATTATGGAGCGGTGACCGGTTTGTCTTTCTCTCAAGATGGTAACACCCTGCTGTCCAGCGGGAGGGACAGCGTAGTGGTCATCTGGGATCTAGTCATGAATCTGGCAAAGAAAACCATTCCTGTCTTTGAGGTAAATTCTGCCTTCGTAAACTCCCCTATCTGATTGTGAGCGGGATACACCCCTCGCTCTGTCTTTCTCTCTCTCTCTCTCTCTCTCTTTCCTGTTCTGTTTCCGTATCTTGATCTGTACACAAAAGACCATTTTTTATGAGGCCTAAAAAAAAGGATGTATCTTGAAATCTACGGTCTGCTTTTTTTTTAGAAAAAAAATGTTTAATGAATTAAAAAAAAGCATTAAAAACTGGAAGATATTACCCCAAAGAGGGAGAGAAAAAGAAGAAAAAAGATTTCCGACCAACCGACCCATGTTTTAGGACCTAAAGGACAATGCAACAATTTTTTTTAAAGGCCTTATTGTGGTATCTAAAGAGTTTAAATTATAACTCAAAGTTTATGGAATTTGATTACTTGATTACTTTCAAATTGAGTTATGATATAATCATCAAATTTGACCCCTATGACTTAATGTACATGCATGATGATGTAACATTTTTAAAACATTTTTGTTTTCTGCCTTAGCCCTTGGAAACTGTAGTCTTTCTACCAGAAGACAAAGATTTCCCACACATAACTCCAAAGAAGGAAAAGAAAGATTTCTGCTTCTTGACAGCAGGGGCAAAAGGTAGGAAATGAATTTTTTCTGTTGTGAATACCCCTTTAAACGCAGGGTATTGTACTGACATCGTTACCACTTCTATAACGTATTATGCCATCTTTCAATTACACCATCTTTCGGTGAAGGCGTACACAGAGAGATTTCCGGTACCTGTACCCAAGCATAATCATGCTCGCTTTTTCAGTTGGGGATGCACTGTGGGACATGGCTGTTGACACATCAAGACATTATGAGCACTATTGAGCAGCAGATGGCAGTATACGTATATCTAAAGTTGTGTCAGTAGAATACCTGCCTTTAAAGAGTATTTGGTCATAGGTCCTTGGATGTTTTTTATGCTTCTGCCCACTGAAGGTGGGAGGAGGACAATAATTTTTTCAGTTTGTCCGTCAGTCCATCTCGCTTTTTCGTTGTGGCGATACATCAAGAACCAATTGAGATTTGAACTGCAAGCATCAAAGGTCATAGTGGTCAATTTCTGAAATTACAGGTTTTAGCCTTGCTATTACAATATCTATCTATCTCAAGAACCACTAGAGATATGAGGTTAAAACTTATTGATAATATGTATCATCATTGGAAAAAAATCTGATTAGATTTTTGGTAAGTAGGTCAAAGGTCATAGAGGTAATTTTGTTTAATTAGAGATATTACCCTTAATGCTAAATATATTACTCATCGCGAATATAGTATCGAATATAATATTGCTAGTGACATTCGTTTGTCTCGCAATGTATGGTCAACAAGGGATCAAAAGATCACGATGTTTCGTGCGCCGCTGCAACACTTCGTCAGGTGATAAAATATATTGTAAGCAAGCGTCTTTTATACTCTATGGGTGGACCGGCGGTCAAATAATTTGATCAATAATTAGAACAATAACGAGAAAGGCCTATTTGCCGAAGCACACGTGTGTTCAACCAATCAATCAATGTGCTGGCTCGGTGCAGGCCGGCTGGACGGGGAGTGTCATGGTGGCGTATCGTACGCATCCAAAATTCAGGGATATTGATCCCGTTGTCTCTGTTGAAATTATTGGGATTGAGACGTATATTGAATTGATAGCTTCTTTAGCCCTCCATGTGTACCAATGTCGTGTATAAAAGATGCTTGCTTACAATATATTTTATTACCTGACGAAGTGTTGCAGCGGCACACGAAACCTCATGATCTTTTGATCCCTTGTTATCACAATATGTCAAGAACTTCCTGAGGTATGAGCTTCAAACATGGTGACAGAATTATTATAGGAAAATGATCCAATTACATTTTGGGGCTAGTAGGTCAAGATCACAGTCATTTAATTATAGGCTTTTTGTTTTCAATGTGATATGTCATGAATAATTCCATCCATTTCCTTTAATGAATTTACGGAGATGCAGAAATTTGCATTTGTCTTGTTCCCACATATGAAGCTTGTTCATGGCTCGTTTCAGCAATGCTGGCATTTTCTTTTCTGATGTTCTTCTAAAGGACCCAAACCACTTAGATACATGTATAATAATTATATTTGCTTATATAGCGCCTAACACTTACTTTATCAGAAGTCTCTAAGCGCTCTACAATAATGCAGCATAATTACCCTGGCTTTAGCAGTGCAGCTGTTACGCGCGCTGCGTTTCAAGGAATAAATTCCTACCAGGTACCCATTTACTTCACCTGAGTGGAGTGTGGCAAATGCAGATCAATGTCTTGCCAAAGGACATTATATGTGTTTAGATACTTTAAAAGGGCCGAAAACATTTAATACTCAAAGTTTCATTCAAGTTCAGTACACAATAATCCCTCAGTAATGAGATTGAGACCTGTCTATACATATCTGAGAAGTTAGGACCAAAAAAAGCTTAATTCAAGCCAAATATATTGTATGCCCCTCAGGCTTACAAATAATAACAGTATAGAGGAAGTTACTTTGTAATCACAGAATAATAGAATGCTGTATTTATCCATACAAATTAAAGTACAGTGAAAGAGAGTGTGCCGTTGACAGGAACACTATTAAACAGACAACTGCCTAATTTCAATTAGTATTTTGACAAAGACAGGCACTTGTGCTATGCTTTATGTCTGGAAAGCATACACCGAAAGGTTTTCTAGCTGTTGACTTAGAACCCCTGGCAACCAAGTTAGTAATGTTTGCAAGGCAACACCTAGCCGATTATAGAGCAATGTGTATATTTTCCCATCCCTGTTTCATTTGTAACATCTGCTCACAGGTATCATGAAAGTCTGGTCATCTACTGGTCGGTGCCTGTACGAGCAGCGAGGAAGCCATTTACAGTCCTTGAAGAAACAGACCTCGGAAGACCAAAAACAACCAGCCATGATAACCAGTGCTATGATTTGTGAGGCCATTGGATGCATTGCGGTGGTGACATATGACCACAACATCATTCTCTTTAGGCTGGAGGATTTGAAACTGGAGAAGCAGGTCAGAGTGATAGTTATCTGCAAGTGTGGACTTGGTTGTTAGATCTGTAGGAATTAAAATAAATATCATGTTTACTTTTTTGTTTGTACCGTTAACATTTATTATTTCAGGTTGGCCTTCTTATTGGGATATCTCAAAAACCACTAGAGATATTCGGTTCAAACTTGTTGCTAGTTTGATCACCGTAGGAAGAAAATCTTATTAGATTGTGGGTTAGTAGGTCAAAGGTCACAGAGGTCAACTTCTGAATTTCCAGCTACCATAGTTATTTGACGGCGTTAAGGCTGCAAAATGGCCCGCAGATTTGGAATCCTTATTGAATACCCTTTCCAACAATACAACATTTTGTGAAGATTGACCCATTAGTTCCCGAGATACAAGGGTTCAAAGGTAGGCCCGCCACCCCCATTTTTGCAAAAATCTTAAAATTTGGTTGGCCGTATCTCCCAAACCCCTCACCCGATTGACCTAAAATTTGAGATTTGGTGCTGTGAGATCCAACAAAATCAAAAATGGTCGGGCTAAGATTTTCAGATTTTTTGGGTGATTTGACATGGAATGACCCATTAGCCTTGTTATCGTAAAATCTCTAGAACCACTAGAGATATGAGGCTCAAACTTGGTGATAATATATATTACCATAGGATGACGATGTGATCAGATTTTTGGTAAATAGGTCAAAAGTCAATGCTCAATTTCTGAAATTCTAGATATTAGTCTTGTCATGAAATGAAACAAAATTAAGCATTTATTATCCATTCAGAAATTTGTTTTACGCCCTGCCCGCTCGTGAAATAAATCTTTGTGATGTAAAATAACAGGTATTGTTTACAAAAAAACGAAAAATTACGTCTTATCCCCAGCTCTTCGGTCACTGAACAGTATCAAGCATTTCATTTGGAACAAACTAAGAACAAACGTGGCTCTACTACTTTCCTGAAGGAGAAGCAAAATAAAACATTGACTAGTGGTGATCATTTTGACATATTGACTTTTTGTTTTTCCTTTCTCTTAATCATTTATCATGTTATCTATTTCAACCGAGGCTCTGGGAATATTCAACCAAAGATAATCATCTTTAATATGATTTGTTTGACACTGGTGTATATTTACCGGCGTCGAACAAATACCGGTTTACCCATAAAAGTCACAGAGGTCAATTTCTGAAATAAAAGGGTTTTAGCCTTGCTATTGTAATATATATAAACATGGTGACAGTATCAATATTGGAAGATGATCCAATTAAATTTTGGGGCTAGTAGGTCAAGTTCATAGTCGTCAGTTGACATTTGATTATACCTAGGCCTTTTCTTTTTATCGTGATATGTCACACATTATTCCATCCGTTTCCTATACTGCATTTAGGGCAGAGGCATATTGGATATGCATTCGCATTTGTCTTGTTTTTTGTTTTTTTATTCTTGGTAATGTATGGGGCTTCTTAAAAGCTTTGGCCTTTACATTAAAATCCTGTATGTATGTGTATTTATCTTGTCTTTGCGCTCTAGTTTGTGGGCTACAGTGAAGAGATCCTGGATCTGAAACTAATGGGGATGAATGAGTCTCATCTTGCAGTGGCAAGTAACAGTGAGCAGATCAGAATATTTGAATTGAGCTCAGGCAGCTGTCAAATACTTACTGGGCACACAGGTAAGAGCGGATGGTCGTCAACATCATCATTATTATTTCTCTTGACACCAGTTACAGGAAAATATATGCAAAAGACACAGACTTAAAAAAATATAGGAGAATGAAAAGAAAGTGGCACATTCAGGGAAGGTAGTAAAATTTGCTTATGAGCCTAAACGGGTAGCGACACTCTCACTGAATGCAGTAATATATCAATTTCAATAAATACTATACAAAATGAAATAATACACCGATTTGAGTGCGTTATGGTCGATGCAGCGCATGAGGGTACTCACTGTGGTGAAATTGTGAATTTGCCATTGTGAATACCCGAATAGCGCTGCATCGCCATAACGTCACGAACGAAAACCTCATTTGCTACATTCTTGAGCCCATTTTATAAAGTAGACCGTCACATTGCGCTGCCTCTGTTGGAGGCCATTGCTCTATAATGCAAGGAAAACCTTCAAAACCTGCCCTACTGCGACATAGCAATTGCTAACCAGATTCTGTGCGACAATTCAATTAACCAGAGTACAGATACGTTGCGTAAGTCGATCTTGACGGGACTGAGTGAAATGCGTTGACTTAGGCAATCTTTGACGTGGGCGTACGTTTTCGAAATTCGACTTACGCACATGTAGTGCATGTACATGTCCTGTAAATTGTCTCTAGGCCTAATATAACTTGGGAATGCCGGCGGGACACAGCAGGCTTAACTGGGATTGGTTTTTATGCCTCCGTTACGAAGTACCCGGAGGCATTATGTTTTCGGGTTGTCCGTCCGTACGTCCCGTTCTCGTGATCGCGTTATCTGAAGAACCGACTGATGGATTCCTGCCAAACTTTGGTCATGGATGTATCTTGCAGACCCGATGAACTGATTAGATTTTGGGGTCACGAGGTCAAAGGTCACAGGGCTCATTATGTATGCAAAAACAGCTCGTGATCGCGTTATCTCAAGAACCAATTGATGGATTCCTGCCAAACTTTGGTCATGTATTTCTCTTGCAGAGCCGATGAACTGATTAGATTTTGGGGTCACAAGGTCAAAGGTCACAGGGCTCATTATGTATGCAAAAACAGCTCGTGATCGCATTATCTCAAGAACTGATTGATGGATTCCTGCCAAACTTAGGTCATGTATGTTACTTGCAGAGCCGATGAACTGATTAGATTTTGGGGTCATGAGGTCAAGGTCAAAGGTCATGCGGCTCATAATTTTTGCAAAAATAGCTTGTGATCGCATTCTCATTAGAACAGATTGATGGATTCCTGCCAAACTTAGATCATGTATGTATCTTGCAGAGACAATGATTTGAGTAGATTCTTGGGTCAAAGGTTAAATGTCATGGGCTCATTATGTATGCAAAAATAGCTTGTGAACGCATTCTCATTAGAACTGACAGATGGATTACTATTTAACTCAGGACATCTTGCAGAGCCAATGAACTGAGTAGACTTTGAGGTCAAAGATCAAAGGGTCATATACATGTATGTATATGAGAAATTGCTTGTAATCATGAGAACCTTCTGAGAACCTTTTAATGGATTACAATGAAACTTGAATTTGAAAAATTGATTCTGTTTTGGTTTGTAAAATTGCTCTTTGACGGAGGCATCATTTTCGACTGCATGCAGTCGTAGTTCCATCTAGTTATCCCATGCAGTGGTTTGAATTGTTGTGCAGACATCCATTGATCATCATTGATTAAAGTCAGCATTTTCCCTCTTTCGAGGGATACTGCCTTTCACACCATGATGACACTCCCTCCCTCCACTTCTTGTTACAAGCATCCTCTACATTTAGATCAACTGTACTGCTTTCTTTCTTTTTCTTTCCATTAAATCTTCAGTTTCCAGATCCCATGCTCTTTTGTGTGTATCATTTCTTCATTTTTCTTTTCAGATATTGTCATGTCTTTGGATGTATTCAAGAAGGGTCTGATGATGGTCAGCAGCTCAAAGGTAAGACCATGTTTCACTCTTCTGGGGGGGGGGGGGTGGTCTGGGGGAGAGAAAATAGAAAGAAAATGAGACAGGGAGACAACCCAAATGCTGACAATATGTTTTCCAATTTATATCCTGATAAAATCATCAAACATAAAATATCTGTTCTCTCTCAGGATAACACAGTGCTTATATGGCATATGGATGAAGAGAGTTGCTTGGTAACCTGTGTAGCTGTAGGCCTAGGCCACACCCACTCGGTAGGGACAGTAGCTGCTGCCAGGTAAGATGTTGCATAGTGCTCATTCTGTTAACATAAACGCACTCGGTCCTTATTTAGTAAAATGCTCTGCTGTGTGTATTCATACATCATGTGGTATAATGTGGTGTTAGTTGCTCAAGCTTAGGTATATAGAGGGCAGCACACGGACGTGCGATACCTATACCATCTTGCAAACTTTGTATGCACGGGAGCTGCTTCATATTCTTGTGTGCACTCTTACTCCCACAATCCAGATTACTTTCAAATTTGTATGGAAGTGTATCTTGGTATGATCTACACACCTATAATATTTGTTGATGCTGTCCCCAGTGTTTTGTCTTCTATAGGGTAAAAGGCCATATTTTGGTGGATGGTTTGTGCGTGCTCTATAGGCCACATAAAGGGATTTTGTTCAAATTTTGAACAAAGGTGTATCTTGGTATAATCTATAAGCCTTAAGATTTTGGGGATGCCTTCTCCAGTGTTCCGTCTTTAATAGGGTCAAAGGTCATATTTTAATAGATGTCTTGTGTGCACTATAGTGTGCGGTCTAACCGCATCATTCCTTGACAGATTTCTTTCAAAGTGTGTATGGAAGTGTATGCTGGTAAAATCCATAGTTTCTGATGATGCTGTCACCAGTGTCCCATGTTTTATAGGGTCAAAGGTCATATTTTGCAGGATGGCGTGAGTGCACTATGCAGACCACATTTCTTATTGAATTTTGTCAAATTTTGTATAGAGATGCATTATACTCAAATCTACACACATATTGTTTTAATGATGCTGCACCTAGTCTTGACAATAGTCTCGAGCAACTAGTGGCGATCTCTACGTCGTCCTTTTGTTTCGGGGAGGGGAGAGGGAATCTTTGTCCTTCCTTCAAACATAAGGATGACAACAAAATTGCTGCCAATGCCGGGGGATACATTCGCATTGCACAGCAATGGAGAATGCGATGTTTCTAGTTTGTTTTTGCATTGTTGGGTACTGTTTTTCAGAAAGTGCACATATCGTTAAATTCAGTGTTACTGAATGTAAATTGATAATTTGGTGTAAATTTTCTTTTAAACACATGTAAACAATCACACCACTACTGTCATTGTCATGGTTTATCTTGCAGATTGTCCTCCAAATTCTGTGTATCTGGTAGTGAGGACTGTACACTAAAGGTATGGAGAATACCAGAACAAAGACCAGAAGAAGGAATCAAGGAACCAGTTCACATGAAAGTCACCTTTACAGAGAAAGCACATGACAAGGTTAGTGGGAGTGGTAATATCTACTAAGTACATTTTGATTTAGTAATCCTTACATTTTGTCAAATTGTAGAACTGATGTTGACTATCTTTTCATGAATTGTATAATTTGTTTGTGTATTAAATGTTGCTCGTACACTCGTATCCAGAGATGCCAACCAGTACAATTTTACAATATTTAGTACAATAATAAGAGTGAAATACGATATCGCCTCTTAAAATACAATTTTTCCTCTTTCAAACAAAAAAACAAAACAAAAAGATATTTTATAAACTCATAAAATCGCATAGAAGCATGTACAAGTAAACCCTTGCAACCATGACACAAACTTTGCTTTACAATCTTCACATTCAATGTTAAAGGCATTGTTTAACAATGTTAAATCTGTGATGCATAGCCCTACTTGTTATCACTGTCTGTGATGTGGTGTAATATTGAAGCCCTAACAAAATTGCGCTTCAAAATGATCATGAAGTGCCTCAAAAAAGTAAAAATCTTTGAATGACTGGTTTTACCATACCTTACTCATTTTCCCCAATAGACTGTAGTGTTATAAAAACCGTTAGGAAAAAGAAAAATGAAATTTCGATTTCCAATCATAAATATCTTGATAATCAGACAGGGTATCTGCTTGTTAAAGGTTCTATGTCCCATTAGCAGGCCCCAAAATGAAAAGGTTGAATTCCAACGGTATTTGAAAGATAATACTAATAGTGTTGTAACATCAAAGATATTTCCAATTCCGTTTAACTGTTAGTCAAAATCGGACAGGTTTTTTTTTTTTTTTTTTAAATTTAATTTTAATTTTTTTTATTATTTGTATTTTAATTGACTTTTTGGAAAATTAAAAGAAATCACAATATTTACAAATAATTTACATAATTAGAAACAAAATCGTAGACTTTATTGTCAGGCATGCTTTGGAACAATGACTGGGTTTCACTTTGTTTATGAAGCTCATGTGCATGTATTTCAAGGCTGGAAACTTAGTGTTACGAGTCAACTTCTCAATCTACAATCTTGCAATTGATTGTTATCGTGTAGATCGTTGCTCTGCTATTCAACATTCAACAGTCAGGGCTGACTTATGATGACAATAGGGGTTTTTCGTTTGTCACGTCGACATAGTCGACATCAAAGGTGTGACGTCATTTTGGCGATTTGCGCATGCGTCGGGTCGTCTGGCGTCGTCAGGCCAAATTTGCGAACCCGTTTATCGATGATTTGAGGTTTGTCAGAAAACTAGTGACCCGTAGTCGAAATGACGTCATCTTGCTACATCGCAGCGTAAATCAGAAAGTAAAAACAGAAAGAGAAAGTGATAGAATGATCAAAAACAAAAAATAACATAAGGAAAGACAGAAAGATAAAGTGATAGAATGATTTAAAAAAACAAAGAATAACATAAGGAAAGACAGAAAGAGAAAGTGATAGAATGATAAAGACTAAGAATAACATATAAAGAGAAGATGAAAGAAGTTAGAAACAACTAAAGAAAGACAGAAAGATAAAGTGATAGAATGATTAAAATAACAAAGAATAACATAAGGAAAGACAGAAAGATAAAGTGATAGAATGATTACAACAAAACAAAAAAATAACATAAGGAAAGACAGAAAGATAAAATGATAGAATGATAAAAACTAAGAATAACATAAGAGAAGATGAAAGAAGGAAGAAACAAAGAATAACATAAGGAAAGACAGAGAAAGTGGTTGAATGATAAAAAAGAATAACATAAGAGAAGATGATAGAAGGAACAAACCAACATTAAAGGGAAAGTCCACCCCAAAAATAAGTTTGTTTCGATAGAGGCAGAATAATAAGAAAATCAGGTGAGTGAAAGTTTGAGCAAATTCTGAATGAAAATAAGAAAGTTATGAATTATTGAAGTTGTGATCAATCAAATACAAATTGGCAACTCTATGACGTATCATGCGAGCTCAACTTCCATTTGCTCAGTACTAAAAAAATCTAAAATTTTCATTTTCCCTCAAGAAAAATTTCAACCATACATGCACCCTAAATATAATAATTGCAAATATGTTTCTATACTCCCCCTGCAAGGAACAAATATATATTCCGTCATCAATAACGAAGAAAACATGATTTTATGGAATATTATGCACAAAGCAAATGAAGGAGAGCTCGTATAATAAGTCACAGAGTTGCCAATTTGTATTTGATTGATCACAACTTCAATAATTCATAACTTTCTTATTTTCATTCAGAATTTGCTCAAACTTTCACTCACCTGATTTTCTTATTATTCTGCCTCTATCGAAACAAACTTATTTTTGGGGTGGACTTTCCCTTTAACATAAGGAAAGACAGAAAGAAAAAATGATAGAATGATAACAACAAACATTAACATTAGGAAAGACAGAAAGAGAAAATGATAAAGAATAGACAATGGAAATATAGAAGAGAAGATGAAAAAAGGAAGAACAAATAATAACATAAAGAAAATAGAGAGAGAAAATAAGAGAATAGGAAACGAAGAATAACATAAGAAGTGAAAGAAGGAGAAATATAATAAGCGCATGGGGCCATTACGTCATCATGTAGAGAACGGGCGTCGACTAAAAACGAAAAGGGTTATGAGGTAGTGAACAGGATGGGTGTCTGGCGCCAATTCGCTTTGTTAGAGGACGGGAACGCCGTCCTCGTCCAAACAAAGGAAAAGCCCCTATTAAAGGTAATACAAAGTTTTGGTATGGGGTCATGAATTTGGTTTATATGAACGTATTGGAAGCAAATGTGATCCTACAATATTCAGTGATCGTTGTCGCGGTTGAAATCGAGTCTAAAGTAATGAAATTGTAAATAATAGACTCTTTAAGTTGTATAGCTCCCTCTCAAGGTCAAGATATTAATTAAGCTATGAAACTATGGTTCTTGACTAAAATCTACCGATTAGCTATTCCCATTTGGTTATTATATATCACAACCACATATTCTGGGACTTTCAGGGTCGCAGCTACCATTGTAGGGCCGTAGGCGCTATTTGGAATTTATCAAAATTTACCGGGAGTACCGGTAAATTTTTGTATTCAATTTTTGTCGAACGCAGAACTGTTTTAGGTGCTAAATTTTCTAGTGCTTATAAAACACCCACAGGGGCATCCAAATGAAATTGTAAAGAATCACTATCCACCCAATTTTCAAAATTTCCCAAAACTTTGTATTACCTTTAATGTCGGCAAAACTTGATTTATTAGCTTCATAAACAAAGTGAAACCTACCGTTTTTGCTGGCGTTAAGGCCGCACCCCCGATAAAAAAAAAAAAAAATGTTTTTTTTTTTTAAAGACACCATGAGCAAGCAAATCTAGATCTACCACCACTGTTTGGTTGGTACGTTATAAAGTTTATTTACGAGATTGATAAAACTTTGCCCTTCATGTCAACAATATAACACAAAATTGTCGGTAAGACATGTGTTATTCTAGACCATTATTGTAGAAATTTGTGCTGTTTTCATGGTTTTGACTTGCGATTTTTGTCTCGCCTGGGTAGCAAAAAGCGAGACATAGGCGCCGCTTTCCGGTGACGGCGGCGACGACGGCGACGGCGGCGTCATCATCAAAAACCTAACCTTAGGTTAAGTTTTTGAATTTTCAATATAATTATGAAAGTATAAATCCTTAGTCAATGAAACTTAGACTATAGGGTTATCACGTATCTCCAATCATGTGAGTTGAATTTCAGGTCACAAAGTCAGGGTCAAAGGTCATTTCAGGTCAACAAACCTAGTCTATGTTGTGGCATCATAATCGAAAACTTAACCTAAGGTTAAAGAGATGGTTTATTGATTTCAAACTTGACTGAATTTGGTATCACTGCAATCGAAAAATTACACTGAGTAAAATCATTACATTTGTGTAACTTGTACATTCGAGCGAAATTTTTAAAAGTTGATTGAACTTGACGAAAAATCAACCCACTCAACGCCCCCAAAACATCGTAAGTCAGCTGATTTTTGAAGTGACATCACAATATGAACAGCGGGCCGCTCAGCTGAAATGATTGACGACGGTGCGAGATTCAGTTTGCGTGCGATTCACATGTATTGCATTGACTCTCGAGTACCGTACCCATTTATACCTAACGCCGTTTACTTTCATCAAAATCCCCTGGAAATATAGATATGGACAAAAACATACTTGATTATACTCCAGAAGGCTCCTCCATGGCATGGTTTTGGTTCTTAATCTGACGTTAGTCTAGATAAATGATATATAACTTCCAAAAAGCGAGTGAATATATCGTCGATGTAGCGTTCAAGTTTCCCGTAACTGGTAGCTGTGCGTGCGTACTCTGTGCATGTACTATGTGTGCAATACACTGACCTCTATATGCGTGCATCACATCTAGCGCAGCTTGCTAGCCAGCCTAGCCCGTAGCCCGGCGCTCGAGCTAGCCGTGAATCGCGAACCGGACTGATCTGTTTCTCTCGGTTTATCAGGTCCTATACGACTTGATTTATCAAAAATGATTAATCAGCCTAATCACACATTTTTGTAATGAACATCTGGACAATTCTATGTAAATTTGTCGCCTCTTTTACTCCAAAAGAGTCGTTAGGTCAGCATGCAAAATGTCCTTTGCCTTCCCAGATCAGACACATACACGCTGAAGTGCCCTCAGAATATGTGATTATTTTTCTGATTTTTATGCTCAAATTAATTTGACGGAAATTTTTTTAAAAATCAAACAAACATTTGTAGAAAGTATCATTTATTCAGAGTATCTCATTCAAAATGCCAAAAAAAGAGGAAATATCACCACTGGCGGTAAATATACAAACAACGTTAACCCATATATGAAAATTGCAATGGGTATCCAACATTGTCCCGAATGTGTGATGTAGGTTGTTCATAATGTGACGTCATCGTTTCGCATGTAAAATAACGCCGTCAATTCACTTAGTGGAAAGGGTAACAAAATTGCATTTAAGTTATTCCTCACAACAGTGAGGGCTTCAAAAGTACTTTGCTCATTTTGTTAATGTTCTCAGCAATCTGTAGAGGTGTAATTTGCCCATTTTCCACATTTCAATGAACCATCTCTTTAAGTTTTTGAACTTTTGATATAATTTTGAAAGTATAAGTTCTTAGTCAATGAAACTTAGACTATAGGGTAATCAAGTATCCCCAATCATGTGATTAGAATTCAGGTCACTACGTTAAAATCAAAGATCATTTTAGGTCAACAAACTTAGACTTTTTTGTTCCATCAACATCAAGATTTTGAATTTTTAGCTTATTTTCAAAAGTGTTTGTTCAAATTCCATGAAACTTGTACCCAAGGGTTATCAAGTATCACAAATCATATGACACAAATTCCAGGTCACAAGGTCAAAGGTCATTTTAGGTCAGTAGACTTGGATTATGTTTTCACAACTTACATGTAATATGAGAATAAATTAATCAATTTTTGTTATTTGTTCATGATTCTTAGTCAAGATTCACTTCAAAATGCTGATTATATTCAGAGGATTTCATTTTTTGGGCCTACTAATGGGCCATCCTGCCTATAAATAATGTTCCAACCTCAATTTTTCATCATATCGAATTGCGTAATGCAGGCGAGACCGCCGAGAGCGTTTCCCTTGTTTACTCTTGCGGCGCAAAGGCCGCACCCCGTCTTTTTGATATTTTCTCTTCCAAAAATACTGCGGCCTTTACGCCGGCAAATAAGGTAGTCATTATTCCAATGCATGCCAGACAGTAAAGTCTCCGTTTTGTTCAGTGATTTTGTTAATAATGTGATTTATTTTGATTTTCCAATGAACAAATTTTCTTTTTAAAATAAAAAAACGGGGAAACAAAACCGTCTCAATTGAAAACGAATAGTGCCATGGACGGTCGGATACCGGATGGTTAAACGTTTGACCACAGCAATTAAATACTAATTTATTATTATTAGCATTATTACTAGAACAGATAAGAACTGATAAGATTTTAGGGTCATGAGGTCAAAGATAAAAGGGTATATGAAAAATAGCTTGTAATCACGATATTCTGAAAACCTGTTAATGGATTACAATTAAACTTGAATTCGAAAAATTGCCTTTGTTTTGGTTTGTGAAATCGCTCTATGGCGGAGGCATCATTTCAACTGCACGCAGTCGAAGTTCCATCTAGTTTAAGGACATTCAATCTGTTTTTGTGTGTCAAGAGGTTAGCATCTCTGCATATCAATGCTGATCTATTAATTAATCTAACAAAACAAAACTGACGTATTTGAGAAAGATATTTTTTAAGTGTTCATGTGGGAGGCTGTTAGTCAAAGCTTAGAAGACTGAAGTAGAGATCTAATCAATGAATTTTTGTTTCTGAAGATCAACTTGATATGACAGCGGTGTTCCTCTAAAGGCTTTTTAACATGTGAGGCAGGATACCATTGCACATTTTGCTAAAGCAAAATGAATGGTAAGTTGGGATGAAAATAAAGTAGCTTCACTAACAAAGGTTCTCACTTTTCTGTGTTTTTTAAGATACAGAAATTTGAAGCGCATTATGCTTATGTCTTCAGAAATACCACTGCAGTTTTCATGTACAAGGCTTAAAACATACATTAACAGGTGTTCCATGATTTATTTAACGTTCAAAGTGTTAATCAGAAAGTATGCAAATTATTATTGACAACCCTTGTCACCTCTGCTAGGATATCAACTCTGTCTCCCTGTCTCCAAACGACAAACTACTAGCTACAGGGTCCCAGGATAGAGTAGCCAAGCTGTGGCATATGGATAAGGAAGTACTTCTTGGGTCATTTAGGGGTCACAAGAGAGGAATCTGGTGTGTGCAGTTTTCGCCGACAGATCAGGTGAGTTGGATGTCATGGACATTTGATTGATTTCATCTGCTTTATAATACATTACCATGTGATTAACATGAGAGTCATATGCTAATAGGCAGATATTTGTGTGGCAACTTGAATTTGTGTATTCCCATGTGGCAATCTTAAAAAATATACTTTCCACGTTTAAAAATCTGCCATGATGATGATGGTGTTGAAAATTACGATGTTTTATTTAACTTTCAGGCTCTTGCAACCAGTTCAGCTGATGGGAGCATTAAGATTTGGGCTCTCTCTGACTTCAGTTGTGTAAAGGTAAGCCTATCGTAAGATTTCTTACAATGGCCATGTTTTTCTGTTGTTTAGAAAAGAGATGAGTTAGTACATAACATTTGAAGCTAACAACTTTATCTTAGAATGGTGTCCCTACAAGGTTCAATCATTTTAAACAAGGAGATTTTAGAGTTATTCCTCTTCTTGTTATTTTGTTTACCAATCCAATCTTCTCAATGTAGATGCAATGAGCTTAAAAGCCTTGTTCAGATATGATATTTTGCAAACAGCAGTGGTTTATATGATAATGTAACATGCAAAACTTTCCACTTATCTGTATCTTTCAATACAGAGTGAATACGCGCAGGACCTTTGTTATTCGCAGGCACTTTTAATTTTACATGTCAATGAATATTGACATGTAAAATTAAAAGTGCCCGTTTACCCCTTCGTACCTGAACACACCTTTATTGTTATTATTCTAACTGGAGTATTGCATGTTTAAGGTGTGTTTTTCACTTTTCATTACAGACCTTTGAAGGGCATGATGCCTCTGTTCTGAAAGTGATATTCCTGACTAGAGGTATGCAGCTTTTATCAAGGTATGATATAGTTCTTCAAACTCCATGAATGTTGGTGGGTACCTCATGACATCAATCACACCACTCGTACATAACAACTAGTAATCACTCAAAGCACTAGCATAAAGGACATTGATATCACACAAACTAAACCAATTGTGCTACACTAAACAGTGTCCATAAAGGAAAATATGGACATTAATAGTCATACACTGCATGAACTACTTCAGAAATGCAGTGAGTAAATACTCACTGCACTTCTGAAGTAGTTTTTGTCACGCCTGCGTAGCAAAAAGCAAGACATAGGCGCCGCTTTTCCGGTGGCGACGGCAGCGGCGTCAACATAAAAAATTTAACCAAGGTTAAGTGTTTGGATTTTTGATATAATTTTAAAAGTGTAAGTTATTATTCAAAAAAACTTAGACAAAAGGGTTATGAAGTATCCCCAATCATGTGAGTAGAATTTCAGGTCACTGAGTCAAGGTCAAAGGTCATTTCAGGTCTGCAAACTTAGACTTTGTTATGGCATTAACATCAAGATTTTGAATTTTTAGCATTAATTCAAAAGTGTTTGTTCAAATTCCACGAAACTTGTACACAAGGATTATCAAGTATCACAAATTATATGACACAAATTCCAGGTCGCAGGTCAGTAGACTTGGATTATGTTTTCACAGCTTAATATGAGAATTAAAAAATAATTTTTTGTTTTTATGCCACTGCTACAGAGTACATGTAGCCGGAGGCATTATGTTTTCGAGTTGTCCATCCGTACGTACATACGTCCCGTTCTCGTGATTGCGTTATCTCAAAAACCAATTTATGAATTCCCGCCAAACTTGGGTCATGTATGTATCTTGCAAAACCAATGAACTGATGAGATTTTGGGATCACGATATCCAAGTTCAAAGGTCACAGGGCTCATTATGTATGCAAAAAATAGCTTGTGATCGCGTTATATCAAGAACCCATCAATGGATTCCCGCCAAACTTGGATCATGTATGTATCTTGCAGAGCCAATGAATTGATTAGATTTTGGGGTCACAAGATTCAAGGTCAAAGGTCACAGGGCTGATTATGTATGGGAAAATAGCTCGAGATCACGTTATCTCAAGGATGGATTGATGGATTCCCTCCAAACTTGGGTCATATATGTATCTTGTAGAGCCAATGAACTGATTAGATTTTGGGACCACGAGGTCAAATGTCAAAGGATATGGGGCTCATTATGTATGCGAAAATAGCTTGTGAACGTATTATCAATAGAACCAACAGATGGATTACTATCAAACTCAAAACATGTATCTTGCAGAGCCAATGAAGTGATTAGATTTTAGGTTCATGAGGTCAAAGATCGAAGGGTCAAACATGTATATGAAAAATAGCTTGTAATCCCATTATTCTGAGAATCTTTTTTAGTGGATTACAATCAAACTTGAATTTTAAAAATTGCTTCTGTTTTGGTTTGTTAAATTGCTCCATGGCGGAGGCATCGTTTTCGACTGCATGCAGTCGAAGGTCCATCTTGTTCATAATTTATTAAAGTTATCAATCTTGGTACAAATAATAGTAAATAATTCTTCTGATGATTCATAGTCAATATTCACTTCAAAATGCTGATTATATTCAGAGGATTTCATTTTGGGGGGCCTGCTAATGGGCCACTCTGCACATAAATAATGTCCCAACCTCAATTTTTATGCATTATGTTTTCGGGTTGTCCGTCCGTATGTACGTCCCGTTCTCGTGATCGCGTTATCTCAAGAACCCATTGATGGATTCCCGCCAAACCTGGGTCATGTATGTATCTTGCAGAGCTAATGAACTGATTAGATTTTGGGGTCACATGTTCACAGGGCTGATTATGTATGCAAATTTTTTTTTTTTTTAATGTTTTAGCCCTCCATAGGCTATTTTATTGAGTCAAACAAACATTTTTACAATTCAATGAAATTAAGTCTTTCCTTAATTCAAACAAAACAGAATACTTTCACATTTCTCTCCTTGTTGTCCATACAAACAAATGTTGAAGTGCCTGCCATTTTGTAAAAAATTTGTTATGCATACCAGATATAGAATGGATATATCTCTCGTCTTCATAATATTGAATAATTTTCTTCTTCAAAGAACTAAAATTTGGAATTTTGTTATTAAGCTTTTGAACAAATAGTTGATGCTTAATCAAAGTCACCATGCAATTTAAAGCATTGTTTCTTTTGTCTTCAAAACCAAAAATTACATTTTCTAAATTAAACTCTATCTGTAATCGAGAACCTTCATTTATCCATTTCACCATTTCGTTCCAGATTTATTTAAATAAATATATATAGGATTTTATTGAAATCAAAACATCAAAAACCAAGAGCAAACAGTCCAAAGACTGACAACTGTCTTGGGTACAAAAATATAATTTAAATCAAATATACATAATAAAATAGTAGTAATGAATAAATACATAAGTTACATAAGTTAAAATATCAAATAACTAAACTATTATCAATAAATATTGCAAAAAGGACATATAAACAATAAGTATACATCATTACAATTACGTCAAAAGAGGGCTCTCGAGCTGTGCAAAATCTAAATCAGGTACAGACCGAGAGTCCAATAAAAGAAAATTAAAATGCATAAGACTGGGTTTAAAAAAGATCAATAGTGAAAAGAGGGGAATATGTCAGCTAAAGAATAATTTTTAAAATTTAAAGTATTGAGAAGGTACAAGTAACATACAATAAAGAAATTCCCAAGAGAGCATAGTAAGAGAATAGAGTAAGATAGAGGAAGAGAGAGGGAGAAAATAAGAAAGGAGAGGAGAGAGGGAGAGAGAGAGAGAAAGAGAGAAGGAAGAGGATAGGAAGAAAGTTAGGGAAATATCAATACCATCTGTAGAATTTGTAAAAACAGTCCAGGTATTCAACATTGTAGACATCATTGCAATTAACCCGAAATACATGAAACATACAATAAAGAAATTCCCAAGAGAGCATAGAGAGAGAAAAGAGTAAGCTAGGGGAGAGAGGGAAGAAAAGAAAAGGAGAAAGAGAGAAAGAGAGAGAGAGAGAGAGAGAAAGAGAGAGAGAGGGAGAGAGAGAGAAGGAAGGGGATAGGAAGAGAGTTAGGGAAATATCAATACCAACTGTAGACTCTGTAAAAACAGCCCAAGTATCCAAGCATTATAGACATTGTAATTAATCTGAGATACATGTAACATACAATCTGTAGAATCTGTAAAAACAGTCCAGGTATTCAACATTGTAGACATCATTGCAATTAACCCGAAATACATGAAACATACAATAAAGAAATTCCCAAGAGAGCATAGAAAGAGAAGAGAGTAAAACAGATGGAGAGAAATAGGAAAAGAGAAAGGGGGAGAGAGAGAGAGAGAGGAGAGAGAGAGAGAGAGAAGGAGATAGGAAGAAAGTTAGGGAAATATCAATAAAATCTGTAGACTCTGTAAAATGAGAAAGTATCTAAACATTGTAGACAATAGACATTATTGCAAGAATTATGAAGTACATGTACATAAAGGAAAAAGAAACATGTGTAATCTACCAAAGAAGAATGGAAGAAGAAGGAGGAGGAAAAGAGAAGAATTTGAGAAAGAGAGGGGAAAACACCAGAAAGGAAATTAGAAATTGGTAGATTTACACAAGTTTCATCATGTTGATTACCTTCACTGCCTGTGGTATAAAAGAATTTTGGTATCTGGATGTACGGCATGTTGGTTGGCAAAGAGGGTCACTGTTTCTTAACTGGCGAAAATTTGGTAAGGAATCCCTACGTGGAGGGAGCATGGAAGAATGTCTGGATTGCAAGAGTGATTTAACAAAATTTATGAACAATTGTTGTCGTCTATCTGCAAGGGATGGAATCTGTAAAACTTGAAGGGCGTGAAGGTAATCAACATAACTATATCCCAAAATGATACGGCAAGATCTTTTTTGGACTCGTTCGATCTTGTTCGACTGATTGGCAGTAATAGATGATGACCACACTGGGGAGGCATATTCAACTAACGGTCTAATATACATAATATAAATAGCAACCAAATCCTCTAGTGGAGCTTTGTGTTTTCTAAGAACACAAAGGATGTAAAAACGTCGTGATGCTTGTTTGACAGCATTCTCGACTTGTCTATCCCATTTCATATCAGACTGTAAGTGCACTCCCAATAACTTAACAAACTCAGTAGGCTGAAGGACAGAGTCACTGATGCTAACTTCGGGCATAACAATCTGGTTCCGAAGGAAAGAGATATGCAATACCTTACACTTCTCAGGCTTAGGGGTCATCTGATTATCAACAGAACACTCGGTGATCAAAGATAAATGATCTTGCAATACGGAGGGTTGAGATTTGTGTCTGATTTCAGCGACACTCAAATCATCAACATATTTCCATCTCAGAGGAGTAGAGGTTGCAACATCATTTATCATGATTAGGAAAAGAATGGGGCCGAGCCTCGTACCTTGCGGTACTCCACATGTAACAGGCAGGGGCCCACTAAAGGTAGATCCTAAACGTACACAGTGAGATCTGTTCTCCAAGTAGCTACACAAGAAAAGGATAGTATTTGGATCAGTACCTAAATCAAACAACTTCTCAATCAGCACATTGTGATTGATGTGATCAAATGCCTTAGCATAATCAATAGTACAGACTGAGGCAACATAACCAGGTTTGTCAAGACCTTTCAAGATCGAATCGATCATACTTATTAAATAGTGAGAGGTTGATGATCCTTTCATATTACCGAACTGTTGACTATCAATTTTGCTCATAATGTCTTGATATAACCATTTAGTGAGAAATGCTTCAAAAACCTTTGCAAAGGTAGGGGTGAGTGATATTGGTCTTAGTTGGTCAACAGTATTACATGGTGTATTCTTAGGGATTGGAACAATGTCTGAAACCTTCCAACAATCCGGAAAATTCCCAGTTTCTAAACATTTATTAAAGACCATAGTCAAAGGACCTGCTATCTCAGGAGCGAATTCACAGATAAGTCTAGTGGGTAGGTCATCATGGTGTGTGGATTTAGATGGTTTGAGTTTGCACAGTTCATGATACACTTGATAAGCTTCAATGCTGGGAGGAGGATGTGAAGCAGGCAAGAAAGCCGGTAGAGAAGATCTTTCGAGCGGAGGTAATTGACAACAAATTCCTGCGAAATGGTTATTGATGAAACTTGCTTGCTCAGATAAGCACATTTCACTACCAGGTAGAACAGTAGACTTCTTTTTCATCCCGGTGATCTTGCGTATTTGTTGATGCCAATTACTTGGATGACATTTCCGAAGATCTTTCACCTTGTTGGAATAGAAAGCAGCTTTACGTACCTGGACTTCACGCTTAACTTGATTGCGAAGGCTCTTATAACGTGCCATGTTATTGGAATCAAAGGCTGCTTGCCTTTCTTTGATGAGAGACAGGATTCGCTTGGTGATCCAGGGCTTATCATCTGCCTTGCGAATTATGGAGATGATAGAAAAATGCAATTGTAAAAGAAATGTACAATATCTTCCAACTCTTTTTTACAAAACGAATATTTATCGTTACTCACTATTTTCATCTTATACAGTTGCTTGTTCAAATACAGAATCCTATTTACTATCTTAAACTGAAAATACCTTAAACCAATATCTGGAGTAAAACGAAATATCATTCTATGATATTTCTGCATTCTTATACATTCAGGGGTATAATCTAAATGTCGTTCCCATTTCCTACATATTGAGTTAACACAATTTGTTTTTCCAAGAAAAGTTTTGTAAATATATTGACAACCTTTTATGTCATGTACTAATATTTTGATATGTGACAGCATTAGAGGATCTACTACATTTCTTTCACATTTTTCAATATGCATTTGATATCGACACTTTATAGCTTGAGTTACAGAGTAATAAGACAAATAATTTAGTTTCAAGCAGAATTTTTTTTCACATTGCTCACGAGTCAGAAGTTTTCCCTTATCATCAATCAAATCATTTATACATCTGATGCCTTTTTCATACCAAGATTTAAAAAATACAGATTTTTGTCCAATTTTTATTGAGCTATTTCTCCACAACGGATAAGTTAACCAATCATCTCCCTCTATACGACTCAACATAGACAGAGCGTGAAACACATGTCTCCAAAAAGGATTAGCAACTTCATGAGACAATGCCGAAAAATATTCATCACCAAACTCTACTACAAATGGTTTTGTTAAAAACGATTGCATTAAATGACTAACATCATTACATGTTCCTAAAACCATTCTTCGAAGCCATGTTAACTTTAGTGACATGTTAAAAAACTCAATATCTGGCATTTTAAGTCCCCCTTCTTCATATGTACCAACAACCTGTTTCCTACTACCAGTAATTTTATCTGGCTTATTCTTCCATATAAAGTTAAAGAACTTAACTTTTATAGTTTTCATTAACTTAGCTGAAGGATCTGGGATTGCCATGAAAGATGATTAATCTGTGGTAACAGTAATGATTTAGCAACTGTAACTCTTCCAAGAACCGTAATGTTCCTTTTGATCCAAGAAATCATCTGGCGTTTTACTTTGTCAAAAATTCTATCATAGTTATAATCTGGTATTTTGTCAATAACAACATGAAAGTCAGCACCAAGATAACGAAAAAAAAATCATTATGTACAAAATTCACTTGTCTTCCTTCTAATTCTATATCTTCATTACATTTTGAGGCCCCAATCCAAATTGTGTTTGTTTTATGGATATTGATCTTCAGCCCACTACAGTTTCCAAATGTATGCAAAAATAGCTCGGGATCACGTTATCTCAAGGATGGATTGATGGATTCCCTCCAAACTTGGGTCATGTATGTATCTTGTAGAGCCAATGAACTGATTAGAATTTGGGGTCACGAGGTCAAATGTCAAAGGATATGGGGCTCATTATGTTTGCGAAAATAGCTTGTGAACGTATTATCAATAGAACCAACAGATGGATTACTATCAAACTCAAAACATGTATCTTGCAGAGCCAATGAAGTGATTAGATTTTAGGTTCATGAGGTCAAAGATCGAAGGGTCAAACATGTATATGAAAAATAGCTTGTAATCCCATTATTCTGAGAATCTTTTAGTGGATTACAATCAAACTTGAATTTTAAAAATTGCTTCTGTTTTGGTTTGTAAAATTGCTCCATGGCAGAGACATCATTTTCGACTGCACGCAGTCGAAGGTCCATCTAGTTCATCTTGCATAATGCAGGCGAGACCACTGAGAGAGTTTCCCTTGTTATATTATTACCCTCACTTAGAAAGCGGGATTACTCTAATAGCTTCTGTTATTTCAGTTATGAATTTCTCTTTATTATCCACCAAAGATGGTACCAAAGGCAATACTTTTGTATGAATCTTTTTTTTTATAAAATCCTCCTCCAGTGGTTCTGATGGTCTTCTAAAGCTGTGGACGATCAAGACCAATGAATGTGTGGCCACTCTAGATGAACATAGTGATAAGTTGTGGTCAGTTACTGTTGACCGGTCAGAGCAGAAGGTTGTGACGGCTGGCGCTGATTCTAACATACTCATATGGGAGGTCAGTAAAATCGTACTACAGAATTGCTGTTTTTTTTTAGGGGGGAGGGGGTTCAAATCTGTATTTCTTTTTATGGCTTTCAGAGGAGGAGGAGGTTCAAATGTAGGCAGTTTCAAATGACAAGGTGTTTTTCTTCACAACGTTGTATATTTTGATAGTTAATTTCAAAGATGACCCATATGGAACGCTGTCTAAAATTTGCCCTTATTCCTGAACTTTGGTAAGATGTTTCAACAAATTTTTATTTTCTATCATATGCATAATATTATAGCCTTTGGTCATACACATCATGTGGTATCAATGGAACAAAAGAAAAAAAAATTGGTCCGCACAAGCTCAAAGTTATTTTTTTTATATACTGTATATAGATATATGGTTTGATAAGGATATATATGATTGCAACCCCTTCTGATGTGCATGTCGGTGTACAGTACAGTATATATGAAGTTAACTAGGCATTTTCATATTGAGTTGGTCTATGTTTATGTATTTCTTTTGTTCCAAGTTTCATAATCACTCCGTAGCCACAGAAATAAAAAATATGTCTCTGATTGTATTAAAGATGGTCTGTATAATGCTGAATGCTTATAAACGTATTTGTTTTATGTTGAACCGATTGTTCAGTTATCTAATCACGATTTTAGTGGAAAGAAAGTTGCTATAATGTACATAAATATGGACTTTATGTTGTATACTTGATCAGGATGTGACTCAGATTGAGTATGAGGAGAAAGCAGAGAAAGAAGAGGATCAAATTCTCAAGTAAGTTTTTCTATATATATCTTATATCTTTATATGTATCCTGGGGGCTGCATTATTAGGTTTCCAGTCATTAATCCTCGTTATGTTTAATAATGCAGGTTAAGCTCTAGTATATTTGTTTATTGTACACTGTATATGGAAATGTGTATCTCTTCTCCATTTTTATGCCTCCATTACGAAGTAGCCGGAGGCATCATGTTTTTCGGGTTGTCCGTCCGTACGTTCCGTTCTCGCATTATCTCAAGAACCGATTGATGGATTCTTGCTAAACTTGGGTCATGAATGTATCTTGCAGAGCTAATGAACTGCTTAGATTTGGGAGGCACGAGGTCAAAGGTCACAGGACTCATTATGTGTGCAAAAATTGCTTGTGATCGCATTATCATTAAAACAGATAGATGGATGACCATCAAACTCAAAACATGAATGTATCTTGCAGAGTCAATGAACTGAGTAGATTTTGGGGTCATGAGGTCAAAGGTCATGGGGCTCATTATGTATGCAAAAATAGCTTGTTATCACAATATTCTGAGAACCTGTAAATGGATTACAATCAAACTTGAATTTTAAAAATTGATTCTGTTTTGTTTTGTAAAATCGCTCTATGATGGTGGCATTTATCTCTCTTTCACCGCCATTTTTGTGTCTGCCCATCTCTCTCCCCATTACATGTATGTGTACTTGTCTATTTGCCTGTGTAATATGTGTATCTCTGTTTACCTCGGTTTTCTATGTTCTTGTCTGAATATTTTCCTCTTATGGCCACTCTCTAAATTAGGAAGCAGCAATTGTCCAACCTGATGCACTCTAAGAAGTTCACTAAGGCTCTTAGACTGGCCATCACCCTAGACCAGCCTTTCAAAGCCCTAGGCATAATCAGAAGTGAGTATTAATCACCATGTTTAAGATGCTCAAAAGGTTAATTTTAATAATAGTCAGTTATTTACTTGAATGCTACTTATGTTGTCATGGTTGCATGAAGGTGCAAGGTTCTCAAATGTCTTGTATGCCTCTGCCCACGGAAGGTGGTGCTGGAGGCATTGTTTTCTCAGGTTGTCCGTCTGTACGTCTGTCCTGCTAAATCTGAAGAACCCATAGAGATATGAGGCTCAAACTTGGTGATACTTTGTATTACCAAAGGAAGATGATCTGATTAGATTTTGGAGTAACTAGGTCAAAGGTCACAGAGGTCAACTTATGGAATTCCAGGGATTCCCCCTCGTTATTGCGATATCTCAAGCAAAATAACAAAATTTGACTTACCGGTAGCTCAGTAAATATGGCTTTTTTTTTGGTGTTACAGTACCGTAATTAACGGTGTATTAACCACACTTTTTTGCCGCCGAAAAAAATTCAAAATCGGGGGTACACCAAAAAAAAAAAAAATTGTATTTATGCCCCTCCACCTGGCGCCATGCCTGGCAATGTCTCCCAGCTCAGTAATCGGTGTGTTGGCTCACCACTCGGAAACTAGAACAACACACAAATTTGTCTGTCATCTTGGTTTGAAAGTAATCTTTCTCATAGATCTCAATATGTAGTTTATAATAATAATTCCTCCAATTTTTCTTCTATTACACGGCGTACCACAAGGTTCTACCCTAGGTCCTCTACTGTTTTTTAATTTACATTAATGATCTTACACATTCATGGGTTTTTTTAACACGGACCTGGCTTGCTGCCCACAGATTCCGCAATTATTTTTTTTAGGGCGAAAAGAGGGGTGCGGTTAATACACAAGGGCAGTTTATACACCGTTAATTACGGTATATCAATATCGATATGACTGAGCAATATGGAAACAATATTGGTCAGTCATCCGGAAACTGCACTAAAGATATTGAATATACTGATTTATTGTACCACTTGGAAATCCTTATATAGATAATAATATGTTTGATTAGATTTGGGAGTAATAGGGCTAAAGGTCACAGAGGTCAACTTATTAAATTCAAGGTACTGGTACCGTTAACGTGATATCTCAAGAACCAATAGAGATACGAGGCTCATCATATACTGAATTTATGGCAGAGGCATATAGGAGCCCAGTCGCATTTGTCTTGTTTTTGTTTAAATCATTATTTGTAATTATGTAATACAAAACATCAAGTAACCTATTTGTCACTAATACATGTACTGAATTAGTACGTCTACCAAACCTGTGGCAATCCAAGAATATAGAACGCGGTGGGTTCACAAAAATGTGAGACTCTTTGAGTCATGTAAATGCAAATTGTGCTAAAAAATTCTTTTTCTGCCCCTTCAATTTGTCTTTTACAGCAATACTAGAAGAACCAGATGGAGAGGCCCAACTTGCAATCACCATCACAAAACTGAGGCCTGATCAAATAGGTGAGTAGTAAGGCTGTACACGGATATTCCAGGTACTCGTTGGTTTGACAACTACACATGTACAGTACTATTTCTTGTACACGTGTACACACAGAGACCTGTGAAAGAGTGAAAGGGATGTGAATCTTAGTCTTTACTACAAAGTTTACAAACCGGTGAGACACACCACGCTTTCTTAAAATCATTTTAACAACTTATAAATATTGCTAGTGATGTGCTTCTTCCCCTACTTCGGCCCAAGGTCAACGCTAGACATACAGGATATCTAAAATTTGCAACAGCAAACATGATAAGTGATAGAAATTGTGTAGATTGCAAGCGGTATTCTAGCAAGTGCTAGAGCGGTCAGGTGTATGCGGCAGTCTAGACTCTTCGCGAGCGGTTTCCTTGGAATTAATAAAGAAACTCCCCTCACTAAATACAAAATACGCACGCGACGGGGGCTATGAAGACATGTGCTTTCCCAGAACTCAATACCGTATTTGCCGGCGTAAAGGCCGCAGTATTTTTGGAAGAGAAAATATCAAAAAATCCCTTTACTGCTATTATGTAAAAATGCGAAGAGCAGGTGAATATTCATGTGACACCTGCATAATAGCAGTGAAGGGATGTTCCTTTGTCTACCTGAGGAACTGTATATTTTGTCCACTTTCTTTGTCCATCATATTCATAGTGTTTGCAGCGAGAGAGTAAAAAAAAAAAAAAAAAACTGCAAGTCAAAACCATGAAAGACAGCACAAATTTGTACATATGGGACAACAATAAAAGGTGATGGACATTTCTATAATACATGTAGCTGTCTAGAATAACACATGTCTTATCGACAATTATGTGTTACGGTATATTTTTGAAATGAAGGGCAAAGTTTTGTAAATCTACTGGTAGATCTAGATTTAAGTTTTTGCCATAGCTAAAGCAACCTCAATCCAGTCTCCAGTCAAGCTATGGCGCAATACACAAGAGAAAGCATCAGAGTCGGGATAGCCGAGCGGTCTAAGGTGGTGGTTTCGGGTCCCAATTTACATTTGTACGCAAGAGTTCGATCCCGCCTTCGACGAAAGTTTTTTTTTTTTTTTTTTTTTTAAATGTCAAAATCAGGGGTGTGGCCTATGCGGCGCTGCGGCTTTATCGCCGGCAAATACGGTATGCGTATTCATGAGCACATTCACAACTGAAGTATGAGGCTGTGCAAATCAAATCGTGAATGCATAAACAGCTGGAGTGAACAGCCAATGTGGTAGCAGAATGATGTACATATGTCATGAATGTTGAATTTGTTTACGTGCTTCAGATCGGACGGTAGCGCGCTCGATCGAGCAGAGATACTAGATCACATGGCCCGGGTGCCGGTGAGGGGGGAAAGAGAGAGAGAGATTAAAACAGTGTACATGTGTATTCGACCATATGTCTGGACCAGAGCTCAAAATACACGGGGGCGGTGGGCGATTCGCCCCCGTGAGCTCCATAATCGCCCCTGTCAGGTTGCTCACGGGGGCGATTGCAGATTAAAAATCGCCCCCGTGGAATAAAGATTATCTGTTCTGATATAACTTTAACACAATATTGAGTATCAATTTTCAAACCTTAAACCAATGAAATGGAACTTAAATGGCACTTTCTCTCCCATCGCTATGAGTATTACCGATACAAGCAACGGAAGCTGGCAGTGCAGCTAGGGCGACCGTCAGCAGAGGCTATACTGCGCCGGTAGTACCGGTGTAACGCCGCTGACGCCCAATATCTGATGGAGCTAAAGAGGATCGCACAAGGACATGGAGAAGTTTTTCGTTGTGAAAAGTGTGAATCCTCTGAAATCTGGTTATTCTAAAAGACCAGCAAATATTGTAACTCGACCAGTAAATCAATATTGAGAAGAAGATCACCAAAGATGTTGCAGGGGGATATAGGCGGTTTAGGGGGTTTAACCAACCCCCTTGGCTGCCAAGTGAAAATGTGATGTGCATAGAAAAATGCTATCATGTGTCCAGACCTACACAGTATTAGAAGATGTCAGTAGATGCCAGGAAAACATCACTAACGGGGGTTTGAAATAGCACCAAAAAAAAATCGCCTCGCCGCTTTGGCTATTGTTATTTACAAACCAGGTTTGTAAATAACAAAAGGAGGTTTGAGCTCAAACCTTGCTTTGTGAATTCGGGCCATAATGTTTTCGGGTTGACCGTTCGTACGTCCCGTTCTCGTGATCGCGTTATCTATAGATCCGATCAATGAATTCCTGCCAAAATTCAACCATGTATGTATCTGGCAGAGCTAATGAACTGATTAGGTTTTGGGGTCAGGGGGGGTCAAAGGTCACAGGGCTCATTATGTATGCAAAAATAGCTTGTGATGACATTTTCTCAAGAACCGATTGATGGATACCTGCCAAACTTAGGTCATGTATGTATCTAGCAGAGCTAGTGAACTGATTAGATTTCGGGGTCATGAGGTCAAAGGTCATAGGTCACAGGGCTCATTATGTATGCAAAAATAGCTTGTGATCGCAAGAACCGATGGATTAATTCCTGCCAAACTTCAGTCATGTATGTATCTTGCAGAGCCAATGAACTGAGTAGATTTTGGGGTCATGAGGTCAAAGATGTCATATATGAGAAATAGCTTGAAATCACAATATTCTGGGAACCTGTCGATGGATTAACAATCAAACTTGAATTTGAAAAATTTCTTCTGTTTTGGTTTGTAAAATTGCTCTATGACGGAGGTATCATTTTCGACTGCGCACAGTTGAAGATCCATCTAATTTAAGTGGGCTTTAAAAAATGCTATAAGAAAACAACCAAGGAACATATGACTTTGACTCCCATATCTGAGGAACTACTTAGTTGAGGATACATGCCTCACTCTAGGCTTTGGACATGGTGTGATAACCGAGATCCCCCATTCAAAGTCGTCTTTCATAACCACTGAACTTTCTTGACACCTTCAGGTCAAATATTCACCTTTCTTTTCCTCTTAACTGTTCTTTGATAGAGTGTTAAAGGTACTATGTCCTTTTTGCAGGCCACATCAAATTCTGTAGAACTTTGCAGGAATTATGAATATGTCATGTATGTCCTATCTGTGAAATTTAAGCATTAGCAGTGTCCTAATTTTCCAATTATGCAAGGAAACCTGTTTACTTGCTAGACTTCACTGTCAGACACTATTGAGTGACTGACTGGCTTTTTTTCTTCTTTGGTAATAACATACATAAAATAAGCATTTGTGTACATCAATAACCCACTTCTTGTAATGGCCAAAATTAAACTGATTGAATCTTTGCGCAGCATAAAACATACGACCATTCGGTACAATGGTCTGAAAATCAGACTATTACTTACTGGCTCTATAGCTAATAAGTTGATTCGACAACTAATATTTGTTATTTTCCCTCTTAAAGGCATTTTCAAGCTCCTTTTTTTTTAGGGAAGTTCTAAATTAGTATTATCTTTTGAATGCCGTTGGAATTTAACCTTTTCATTTTTTGGCTTGCAAATGGGACATACACCTGTAGTACCTTAAAGGTTTGCCCAGATGTGCAATATGAACAGGGATGCCAGTTTTCTGGCAATTGCCGCAATTCTGGCTTTTTTAATATTTAAGTTGTGAAATAGACGTGTATCAATCAGATATGATATGAATGAACCAAAGAAAGAAAAAAACATAATTATACTTCGAAATATAATTTTCAGTATATTGCCGTGTAGCTTGTATATTGTATTGTACGGCAGATACAAATGATTTGTCAAAACTGCTGGTGTAAGAGACTGTAATAAAAAATATCTACACTTTGAGGACATGCACTTTCATAATTTTTGAAGTAGGTTCGGCATGTATTTGGAAGTGAAAAATATCGCAAAACAACTGGATCGTTAACTAGCAAGATAACTCACACGCTTTACCAGAGCTGCCAACCAGAACGATTTTATCGTATTTGGTACGACTTTTAGAAGTAAATACGAATTTTTTTTTCGATAAAATATGATTTCCCCCGCCCCCGCCCCCGCCCCCCCCCCCCCCAATTTTTTAATGATAATAATAGGTGTTTTTTTTTCGGGGGAGGGGGTATTTTGTGTGTGTGCCATTTTCAATGGCTAAATGCCCATTCTGTCCTGTAAAAAATCCTACAAGCATCTCACATTGGAAATTTTGGGATGTTCATCGGTTCATCGAACACACCAGTCTTGACAAAATCATTGCATATTCAACCAATGATCCATATAAAAAATTCTCTCTGTATGTAGGAACTGTAAGAGGCATTGATACGTGTACTGTGTAAAAAACAACATTTGGGATTAACCCTTACTGTACTGGGCTATTTTGAGCATCCCCCCCCCCCCATGATCTCGGCCGTCGAATGTCTGATGAACACGAAAATTTGCATGCTTGTAGATATTTACGTAAGGAACAAGATGGTATAATTATTTTTTTCCTAATATGCAAATTTTTGTCGTTATAGCCTAAATAATTATGCAAAATGCTATTTTATGCATTTTACAGAAAACGTGTCAAAAACTTTTTTTCTTACACAAAATAGTTATTTCGATGTAATTAATAATGATAATTTATGCAAATTTGATGCGATTTTCAAATATGTATTTTATTTTTTTTCATTTCTTATTATATGTATTGTTTTTATTTCTAATGTATTTTTTTGTTCTGGAATACATCAAGTTACTTTGAGAAACATATAAAACCAATTTGATATCAATTCATATCTCCCACTTAGGAAGAAATACTCTAAACCCGATTCACATTTCTGCTTGCACAGTACATGAATATATGCAGTTATAGCACTTTTTGATGACATGCGCATACTAATTGTTATGTAACACCTTACAGGTATATCTGATTTTGACAAAAATGGTATCAAAATGTGCGTAAGACTTGAGGAAAAAAAAGTCATGAAACGAAAATTCAAAATTCCAAGCGGTCGCGGCGCAATCTCTGAAAATGTCGAGGGGGGGGCCTCCCCGGCCCCCCCCCCCCTCAGTACAGTAAGGGTTAATGAATACAGATTTTGAACTCCAGAGGTTGGCACGCATGCTATACACATCGCACTAGCGATTTGCGATCCATGCTTGCAGCTGCAGCACATGCGTAACTGTTTGAGCTAGGGCTAGTGTGCGGCAGCTGAAGCTAAGCGAATACTACGCACAGCTAGCTAGCTGTGTTCTAACGTTCATCACCGCTATTAAAGTAAAGGGACTTTTTTTTCCCCGGCCCTACAGACAATTGCCACTGGCATCTCTGTATGAACTCTAAGCACTGTCACGTTGCTCATTGTGTAGTTGGTATCATCCTTCGATATCAATACCATGATGACCTGGCCAAGTTTGCAGATGTTTCCTCTCAAAACCAATAAAATTTCTTGACCACACTCTTTTTTTTCCCTGTTCTTTGATAGAATCTGTGTTGAGGTTTGCCCAGACGTGGAATATGAACTCTAAACACTGTCACGTTGCTCAGTGTGTGCTTGGTATCATCTTTCGATCTCAAGACCCTGATGACCTGGCCAAGTTTCCCGGTGTGAAGGACATTCTAGAAGGACTCATGCCATACACAGGTACATGTGTATGGAGTTTACCATTAATGGGGTATTAGTCCACATGCTAATTCGCTTTGGCTTTGCAACTGACTTTGCAGTCTATGTGCTACATGTTTGCAAACATGGAGAAATTGTATTGAAGAAGGGGGAATGAAATCAGCAGGGGAAAAATAAAACAAAAGGGTTAGGGTGATTTGCCCACCTAAAGTTGGCGAAAAAGCTGTTTGATGAAAGTGGAATGAAATATTAACAGAATTTAATGATGAAATTACGATCGAATTCTTATTGTGAATAGCAGAACACTTGTTTGATCTGGTTTTGCTACTCTATGCTTTCTGATCTCATGGTGTTTACAGCCATGTATATATTCATTAGAAAGGTCTTGATCTATCCTTTTTTATATTTCTTTCCCTTAGATCGTCACTTCCAGCGTCTATCTCGGATGTTACAGCAGGCTATGTTTGTACAGTACACCTGGCAGGTCATGCGAAGGGCTTCTGGCTTACAAGAGTGAGTCGAAAATTGTACCTTCATCATTTCCCTTTCCTTACCTATCTTTTTCATAATTTACCTTATTAAATCAATGTATCTAACTATCTACCTGTTATTTGCTAGTGTACCTAAACTACGCAGCCATTGAAAACTAAAACGTCACATTAGCGCATGCCCCACTCCAATACACTACGTTCCCAGGGTTTACGTGCCCAACCGCACGCCCGCCATCTTCCTCTTTCTATTCTCGCACGCCGAGGTCAAAGATCAAAGGGTCATATATGAGAAATAGCTTGTAATCACAATATTCTGAGAACCTGTTAATGGATTACAAATCAAACTTGAATTTGAAAAAAATTATTCTGTTTTGGTTTGTAAAATTGCTCTATGACGGAGGCATCATTTCCGACTGCGTGTAGTTAAAGTTCCATCTAGTTAAAAAAAAAAATTAATGAAAATTTGGGAATAAACAAGTAAAATCGATTAATTCCAGTGGCAAAAATAAAGCCTTAGATATAAATATAACATTTTTTAATAAAATGTATGTATATAAAGAAGGATAAATCCCTGTTTAAGTGAATGTTCAGATAGATTATACATGTAGCTTGAGGATTTCTTACCCTTTTGCTAGCCATAGTCTACCCAATAAATGACATGTGATGGATGGCACTGCACATCAACTATTAAGTTATGACAGAGTTTTGAGAGACAGAGGCGTCATAACTCCCTAGAAACGATGTTGCCCTTGATCTTGGCAAAGAGGGCTTTGTGAAAAAAAGTAGTGGACAAGTAGCCTTAAAGGTACGTATGTCCCATTTGCAGGCCAAAAAAATGAAAAGGATGAATTCCAACGGCATTTCAAAGATAATACTAATTTAGAGCTTCCCTAAAAAGGGTGGGGCTTAAAAATGTCTTCAAGTGGGAAAATAACGACTATTAGTTGTCAAATCGACTTAGGAGCTATAGAGCCAATATGTAATATTCTTGATTTTCAGACCATTGTACCGAATAGTCATACGTTCTATGCTGCGCAAAGATTCAATCAGTTTAATTTTGGCCATCACAAGAAGTGTGTTATTGATGTAGACAAATGCTCATGTACCCTTTACAGCTCATGTTATGTATGTTATTACCAAAGAAGAAAAAAAAACAGTCACTTGCTCAATAGTGTCTGACATTGAAGTCTAGCAAGTAAACGGGTTTCCTTGCATAATTTGAATATTAGGACACTGCTAACGTTTAAATTTCACAGATAGGACATACATGACATATTCCTAATTCCTGCAAAGTTCTACAGAATTTGAGGTCGGCTGCAAAAGGGATATTGTACCTTTAAAGTGACTTGATAACATTGCCTCGCATTCTGAAACAAAATCCTGGATTTAACTCATGCTGCAATCATAATTTTAAAACCTTTAAGTCAGTCAGGAATCCCATGACTTTTACAAGCCGATCGCCTGTCTGATGATCAAGATATTTTTTATTGGAAATCAAAATTTCATTTTTCGCTTTCTTACAGGTTTTATAACAATACAGTCTTTTGGGGAAAATGAGTATGGTAAACCCAGTCACTCAAAGATTTTCACTTTTTTTAGGCATTTTATGATCACATAGTATATTAACAATTTATGATATACGTAAGCAACAGATTGGTATCTTTATGTTTTCTTACTCTAAAAATATACTTCCAAAGTTTCTAGATGATTGTTATGCCTCCGCCACCGAAGGTGGTGCCGGAGGCATCATGTTTTCGGGTTGTCCGTCCGTACGTCCGTCCCGTTTGACCGTTATCACAATATCTCAAGAACCATTTAAGATTTAAACTTAAGACTCGGGAATAGTATTTATCACCATAGGAAGACGATCTGATTAGATTTTGGAGTACGTAGGTCAAAGGTCACAGGTCACAGAGGTCAACTTATGAAATTCCTTGTATTGAGTTTGTTAGCGCGATATCTCAAGAACCATTTGAGATTTAAACTTCAAACTTAAGGATAGTATGTATTACCATAGGAAGACGATCTGATTAGATTTTGGAGCACGTATGTCAAAGGTCAAGGGTCACAGAGGTCAACTTATGAAATTCCATACATTGAGATTGTTATCATGATATCTCAAGAACCACTGGAGATTTAAACTTCAAACTTAGTGATAGTGTGTATCACTATAGGAAAACAATCTGATTACATTTTGGAGCACGTAGGTCAAAGGTCAAGGGTCATAGAGGTCAACTTATGAAATTCCATACATTGAGATTGTTATCATGATATCTCAAGAACAGGGAATAATTTTCCTGGTATCGCATCGCAATTTGCTATGCATTTTTGCATGACTGCTATACAAAATATCTTTTATGTAGCAGTTTTCTTCCATAGAAATGTACAGAATTTCATTTGAAATATTTATCCATCGCCTGAAATTGCTAATCAAAAAATTTGAAGAAAATTATTCCCTGAAGAACCACTGGAGATGTAAAAACTTCAAACTTAAGGATAGTATGTATCACCATAGGAAGACGATCTGATTAGATTTTGGAGCACGTAGGTCAAAGGTCAAGGGTCACAGAGGTCAACTTATGAAATTCCATACATTGAGATTGTTATCATAATATCTCAAGAACCACTGGAGATTTAAACTTCAAACTTAATGATAGTGTGTATCACCATAGGAAGACAATCTGATTAGATTTTGGAGCACGTAGGTCAAAGGTCAAGGGTCACAGAGGTGAACTTATGAAATTCCATACATTGAGATTGTTATCATGATATCTCAAGAACCACTGGAGATTTAAACTCCAAACTTGTTTAAATTGCTCTATGGCGGAGGCATCATTTTCGACTGCGCGCAGTCAAAATTCCATCTAGTTTTATTTGTAATAGAAATGTGACTAAATATGAAACTCGCTAATCAAATCTTTTCCACCTGCCAATGTTTACTTATGATTTCTCAAGAACAACAATTATTTATGCGGAACCAAAATTATGGAACAAACTGCGTCAAGAACTCCAAATATGCCGAACAATATCAATTTTCAAAAGAAAACTTAAAGAGAAGGTTCATTGATTTAAAAAATTAACTTTATTGTCATTATTGCAAAGGTGACAGTTTGATTGGCCAAGGTTATCAAAAGCCAATGCTTGGAAACATTCAAAGTAATGATTATTAACAATTACAAAACGCTTAGATACAGCCCCGACATAGCGTCTGAAAAGCTCCCCAGTTGCTGCTGAGATATGACGTCACATGTTGAACTTGATGTGCACAAGCAGACGATATCCCATGATATCTCACACAATTTCAGTGCCTGTTTTGTCATCTTTTCTTCAGTTATTTCTCTTACTTCAATACCCTCAGGCGAAATGTTTAATCTATTGCCTCACTCTAAACCCCGTGCATGGTATTATTTTGATGAAAAATGCAAGGATAAAATAAAAAGGAATCCGTCGCTTGTAAACAAAATAAGACGCCATTGTATTTTCATCTGCATACAAAGCGGCATGCTCGGCGTTTCAAGAGGGAACAAATGACGTCCATGCTATCATTTCAGAGGTTTTTTAATTTGAAAGTGTGGTTTCTTTGATTGTTCATTAACCCCCTATCCTGTGTATTTACAAACAAAAGAATTCAGTTATCAGAATGGGGGTCATATCCCTTTTTGAATGGTGTAAAATTCCATCACATTTATATACATTAAACTCATTATAATTTCAGAAATAAAAGCATTGCAATTATGTTCATTCTTTATGGGATGTCGTCTGCTTGGGCAGGGTTGGTTCATATTGTGACGGCATTAAAACATCATTATTTTTCCAGTGAATCTCTCGCATATCCCAGATGCTATGGAGGTTGTTTTATTTGTATTTTTATAAATCACCCGATATGTAGTTGACCTGAAACTTGCATGATGGCCATCTGTTAGCTTACCAGTTTCTAGTGATACGCTATTTGCTATATTTGTGATTTTCTATGAACCCGCACTTTAAGAAATATCTTGTAAATGAATATCTTTAATTACGATTATTTTTTACATAAATGTCTTTTCTGTTTTTTGTCTTTTTGTAATGGATTTGTGCGGTTTAGTTCTGTTTATTGATGCTTTGTGTTATTTTAATCTCTTTATTTCTATCTTGTTTTTAGTAAATTTAAGAAACTTTTTATGTAAATTTTATTATCTTTGGGAATAACCTTGATAGGCCATTGGCCTTTGTTTTTTCGCACCACATTATGATTTAAATTGAAGATGATTGTTAATGTGTATATATTTATATGCATATAAATGACACTTGTGTCTTTTTTAATCAGGTGTGGAAATAAAACTTGAACATGAACTTGAAATTTTGAAGCACAATTTTTTTTTAGGGCTTCAATATTACACCATATCACAGACACTGATAACACATAGGGCCATGCATCTCAGATTTGACATTGTTACACGATTCCTTTAATACTAGCACTGATTTAGACGATTTTGAGAAATGGGCCCCTGGTACTGAAGTGCCAGGGCTATCATGCTATACAAGAACCAATACTAAATCCTTTCCACATAAGTTTTTGTGCATATCAGCTGTATACCTCTCATTTTAATGGATAGGTTGCAAAATCAGCCGATAGTGTACTCAGTTACTTCTTCTTCCATCTGCTTACATTGTTCCCATTTCTATTATTCTTGCATTATTAATCACATACATTGTATACATGTCTACATTATTTTCCTCTTCCAGGCTTACAGGTGAACTGGAAGCCACCACGTCTGATGGAACCATGGGAATGGAAGACTTCTTCCTGGACAAAATAGGAGACATTACCCAGGAGAATGATGATGATGATAGCAGTGATGATCAGGATGGTGGTGATAAAGATGAGGAGGAGGAAGTGGTTTGTAAGGATGTGGAGGAAGAGTCTTCAAGGATTGTGAAAAGGAAAAGCAAACATGAATGGTCCAATTCTAAGTCCTGTGAAACCCACGTGACAAGAGATTCAGATGATGATAATGGTGAGGAGGTGGAAGAGTTGGAGAGGTTTCCATCTTTGAAAAGGACTGGTGAGATAAAAAAGGTTGCTTCACAGGACAAAAATGCTGTTCAGGACTGTGATGAGGAGAAAGAAAACCAGTCAAGACCTTCAAGAAAGTCGGGAAAGAAGGAAGAGAAATCAAGGACTAGTTCTGTGAAAAAGACTTTGAGAAAGGATAGGGATGGTAATGATGATGAGAAGAAGGAGGAACCTCCTAGCCCAGTGAAACAAGAAACTTTGCAGGTTTCAAAAGAAAAGGTTTGTACAAGACATTCTCATATCCATTTAACAGTTGATCATACCCAATGATGAAAGGAGAATCCATTTCCATTATGAAATTTCTTGTAAAATAGAATTAATACCGTGGCTCTATTGTCAGTCTTGAAGATATAGGGGCCCTGTAGCATTTTTGTCTTGCCTGCATAGCAAAAGCGAGACAAAGGCCCCGCTTTTCTGGTGATGGCGGCGGCGTAAACATCAAAAATCTTTATCCATGGTAGTTTTTGCATTTTTAATATTATTTTGAAATTTTAAGTTCTTATTCAATGAAACTTAAACTAAAGGGTTATCAAGTATCCCCAATCATGTGAGTAGAATTTTAGGTCACTAAGTCAAAGTCAAAGTTAATTTCAGGTCAACAAACTTAGACTATGTTGTGGCATCAACATCAAGAATTTGAATTTTTAGCATAATTTCAAGTGTTGTTTGTTCCAATTTCATGAAACTTGTACCTAAGGGTTATCAAGTATCACAAATCCTCTGACAGAAATTCCAGGTCACAAAGTCAAGTCAAAGGTCACTTCAGGTCATTTTGGGATTATTTTTTTCACAACTGAGAATTAATAATGAATTTTTGTTATTTGTTCATATTTTATGAAAGTTATCAATCATGGTACAAATAATAGTAAATAATTCTTCTGATGATTCTTGGTCAATATTCATTTCCAACTGCTGATTATATTAAAAAGGATTTAATGGGCCACCCTGCCTATAAATAATGTCCCAACCTCAATTTTTCATCATATCGAAATGCGTAATGCAGGCGAGACCGCCGAGAGAGTTTCCCTTGTTACCTATTAGTTGTTATGCTTGATTCATTGTGTTAATTGTTTTTAATGCGAAGGTTTAAAATATCTATCATATCTCCCCTACCCCCTTCTGATGACCTTTGGTACTGCAGATTTTCAAACTAGTTCACATCAGAATCATTTGTAATATAACGATTGTGTCATTTGTATCCAAGCATGCCATTGAGCATTGCCATAGACATTCTAGGAGTTTGCATTGCTTGAAATGTGTGAAACTAGAAGTTTTAACTACCTCAAGTCAGATGACTAGATTGATAATTGTAAATGATTGTTAAGATTGATGGTAAGTCAAGTTAAACATTGACCTTTTTTTGTTTGCATCACAGGCCTCAGCAACACCAGGGAGAGGTTCCAAGAGAAAATCAACCCTCAAACCTGTTGAAGGTGCAGGGATATCCCCCAAGAAGACCACACCAAGTCCTTACAACAAGAGATTAAGAAAACAGTCAAGAAAATAGGGTTGATATTATTAAGTTTGTTATGATTTTGAAAGAGACAATTTTTATCAAAATTGTTAATTATTTTGTTCATGCACATGAAAATAAATCATATTGGTGAACTGATAAAGAAGAAATTATGAACCAGCTTCCCATGATTAATGTACTGGTAATGTTATGCTATCACTTATTTTGACTTATTAAAAGTCATCAAATTGGCGTTGCCGTCATGTAGTCAAGAAGGTCGACCTTCTTTGTATTAATGATAATAATCTGTTTCTTGTCAAGTTTAAATCATTAAATGGTGAAACATTCCTATGTGCTTCCAAAGAGTTTGGGAAGTTATTACTCTGGCTTAACATGTAGCTCTGGCAGAGTTATTAGCACACTGTACATTTCAAGGAATAATCCCAACAGGTACCTCACCTGGGTGGAGGTTATATAACGTCTTACCATAGGATGTTAATGTAGCCATAGACAATGACACTCTATGAAGAGGTTTGCACAAGGCTTGCAAACTTATAGTGATAGTGCTGTGTGATTTCTGACACATATTATGCGTAAAAGGTTGATGGAAATAAAGGAGGCAAAAGAATAGACAAGTAAAGCCTTTATCTTTGTACATCCAGATATAAGAATAATGAACCTTAAAGCTTATCTGCCGTAGTTTACAGGAGGGATTAGACCGCTCTGCAAGGTCACTGGACAGGTGGTTATCTCATCAACTCAGCTCTCAGTTAACATAAGAAAAAGAGGATCATGGGGGACCAATGGTCACCGATTAGGCATTGTTATATGGAGGGCGCAAGTAGCAGTGGGCCTTTAATACGAAACATTGAATCATAAATAATTGAGTATCTATGAGTTTTTGCTGCCAATTTGATACCTTCTGCATCATGTAAACATAGGAGTTAATCATGAAAAATATTCCAAATTGATGTAAAGTGATGTCTGAAGGATGGGAATGGGTTGAAAGTAGCTTTCTAGTGAAAGAATTTTCATTTTTAATTTGGTACATGTATTTTGTTATTGAAGCTCAAATCACTGTAAATCTAATAAATTCAGAGTCGTACACGCTTCTTTGTGCAGGACAGTGCTAGTATTAAACCAAAGCTTGGTAATTTTTCAATTGATGTAATAATGTAAATGTGTACACTAAGGATGAAAAAATACAAATTAAAACAATAAAAATAGTGAATTATAAACTCTTTATTTTCATATATTCATGTAATATAAGATCTTAATATAAATTGAATCAAATAATTTGGACACATTAGGCAATTAAATCTTTAAGAGTCTACACATCACACACATGCCGTAACAACATTTAATTACGATTTTCATAACTTAAAACTCCGCCTCTGGGCATTTCTGCGAGATGTGTTGAATATGATGTTGGTTCTTTATATCATCCTTTGAAATGAATGACTAAATCCAAACACAAACAAAGCATAGCATCCCCTCGCAGGGTACAAATGGCCTATATACAACAGAACAAGATACCTCCATTGGACTATACTATGATATTACTAGGCAAGGAAGTTACCACATTTTCACATATACAATGAGCTATGAACTTTCACTATTGACTTACATTACACCTGCGTTACTATATCCCCTCCGACTTCGTCGGCAAGGGGATAATAAAACAGCTAAAAAAGGAGTCTTAACCCTAATAAGGCCGGTTTTTTCCGATTGCTCGGGAATGCATATGGATGGCGCCCCGCCGCTCACTGACTTTTTTCTTTCGATTCTTGGGCATCTTTAAAAAAAAAAAAAATCGGACCTACAGTTACAAGGTCACGTGATCTTTTGTCTTTGCATGTCAGCCCGAAAATCGCTCATTTTTGTGATTTGTGTACAAAACATATGGAAATGTTATTTTTTCTAAATATTGGTTATTGGGTCTTGTTTCAAGTTTAGGTGGTTGTTTTGGGAGTCAACATAGTTGAATTGTAGTAAGAAATGAAATAAAACATCAAAAAAAAAAAAAAACATACGTTAAAATAAAACAATGAAATACATAAGAAATTATCAAAACAAGAGATAACATAAGGAATAAGCTGGCTCTTCCAAAAAATTGTTGTATTTTTATTCCAAATGGTCTAATGAATATATGTAAAGAAAAAGAAAGATTAAAGTATGAATAATATATGATTTATGGGTAAAAATATGATTTTATGACCTTATTTGCATAAATTACCATAAATATGCAAATAAGTGTATTTTTCAAAAAATTAAAATTATCATATTATTCTATCACTTCACTTGACATGCGTGCAAATTTTCACTGAGATCTTAAGGGAGGGCCATGATGGCCCCCCCCCCCCCCCCCCCCCCCCGGCCGTACTAAGACCTCCAATAGCCTGGCCTTTTTAGGGTTAATTATTGTACAAATTATTTCAGTCAATCGTATGGAATCATTTGGTGAAGGGCAATTCATACATGTCTTTCCCAGTTGCTCCTTTTATTATATGTACTACCGGTAGTTCATATAAACCATGCTTGCACATGTCTATATTTCCTTAGACAGGGCCAAGGCTAGATACTGTTCTTAAACAATACAGCAACTAATTCTACAAAATAAAGAGTAATTTTATTCTGAAAAAATATTAAAGGGAAATTTTTAAAATGGCCGGATAGCGATTCTTTTAAATTTTGATATATTTGGATGCACCTGAGGATGAAAGCACTAGAAAATTTAGCCCCTAAAACACTTCTGCTTTCGAGAAAAATTGAATATTAAATATTTCACATAGCGCCTATACAGCCAAGTAATGGTAGCTCTAACCATGAAACTCTCAGAATATGCAGTTGCGATACAAAAACGGGAATAGCCAAGAAACATAGTTTTAAAGCTTAATTAATATCTTGACCTTGAGAGGGATCTATACAACCTATAGAGTTCATTATTTACAATTTCATCCGCGACAATGATCACTGAATATTGTATGACCGCATATGCTTCCAAAAGTTCATTTGAACCAAATTCATGAAGCCATACCAAAACTTTGTATTACCATTCACAAAATAATGAACTATAATAGTTTTTGGTAATTTCTTGAATTCATGTCAGCTGTGAATGTCCATGTAAATGACCTTGTTGTTATTACTAAAAATAAAAGATTGAGATTGTTCTTTAACCATCTCTATCACCAGTTACAGATAAAGCTATATTACCAAGTTACTTCAAGAAAAATTAAATTGTGCTAATAATAATTTAGACTAGATGAACATGTACTAAGTTTTATCAGATTGCACAACGGTTAACTTTGTTTTTAGTTTCAAATAAAAATCGATTGATTTTAACATCATTGATGTCAACATATCACTCAAATATACTGTATGTCTGCATTCCATCAAGTAAAAGAACAAATTAAACATACCATCATGCACATATGTCTCTATTCGAAGAGAGATGCAGAGTGCAAGACTCACTTTGTACATGAACAATACTTCATAAAACATCTTCTGTGTCATGACCATAATGTACTGATGCTGGATTTAGCACTCACAAGAGAGAATCTAGCACCTTAGCTCAATAAAATATTTCATTCACACACAAATTGTTCACATACACAATGATCACAATGGCAGATTCAATCCTCAAGCCATGTTTATAGAAAGAGATAGAGAAAAGTGAGGGGATGACATCAACTCGCTGATTTGCGTACAGGCTGTTTCATGAAATTATGTACAATTTTAAAATTCAATACCTTTTTTTATTTTTTTAATACGATTTTGATGAAATTGTCAGTGTTATATTTGTTGAATTTTTCTCTATCTATTCAAATCAGTTTGCAAATGGGCCAGACTTTCCTTTTAATTGAACCCCAACCTGCAACCCAGCAAAACCTTAATCCAGTATCTGAAACAGAATAACTGGAGCTAAGGAGCAAATGTTGGATCACTAATTTACGTCGCTAAGATACACACAGATACACTATAGTAAAAATCAATTTTATAAGGGTGCACTTGTTGCACCATTCACACGTCTCTCCTTACTAGATAGAGAGAGAGGGAACGATGTTGCATCTTCAATAATTTGGCACGGACGGTGTAGAGTATTGCAGGTTAACACTTGTTGACATCAAGTCTGTATAGCTGGTTTAGAGGCAGAGGCCTCTCTCTCTGGCTAGAAACTTGCTGTTCCCGCCAGTTTTCTGATCTCCTCATATGATATCCAGAATGTTAATGACCATGGAGCCTGTTTGTTGGGAATGTCATGAAAATGGATGGTTCTTTATATTAGAAGGAAGAAAAAACTTTTGCAAATTGGTAATGCTATAATTGGTGTGTCAACCTAATGTGGGATAACACACAGGGGATAGGGGATAATGGTGATGAATATGAAAAGAGATTTATAGAGTTAGACAGAGGGAGGCAGTGAAAGAAAGTGTTGTGTGTGTGCAAATGAAGGGGGAAAGACAGAGTAGCAAGAACGGGAAAGGAAAGAAAATCTCACGAGAGCATAAAAAACATTGGAAATACATGTTCTCGCAAAAAATAACTTTAAGTAAGAGAGAGAGAACTAAAAAATGAGAGGAAGCATAAAGGACAAGGAGATTACATTTTAAGAGAGACTCTGAGACAATTGGATATTAAGGTGAATAGCTAACACAACAAAGAAGAGACAGAAAGAAAAACAAAAGAATAAAAGGGGGATACCAGCAAAAAGCTAGATGGAACTTCGACTGCACGCAGTCGAAAATGATGCCTCCACCATAGAGAAATTTTACAAACCAAAACGGAAGCAACTTTAAAAATTCAAGTTTGATTGTAATCCATCTGTCGTCTTTAATAATGCATTCACAAGCTATTTATAGGCATCCTTTAATCCTTAATGAGCCCCATAACTTTAGACCTGATGACCCTAAAATCTAATCAGTTCATTGGCTCTGCAAGATACATATACATGTCTTAAGTTTGATAGTAATCTGTCTTTTGGTTCTCATGATAATGTGATCACAAGTTATTTGTGTATACATAATGAGCCCTGTGACCTTTGACCTCGTGACCCCCAAATCTAATCACTTCATTAGCTCTGCAAGATACATGCATGATTCAAGTTTGGCAGGAATCCATCAATCGGTTCTAGAGATAACGCGATCACAAGCTATTTTGCATACATAATGAGCCCATTGACCTTTGAACTTTGACCTCGTGACCCCAAAATCCAATCAGTTCATTGGCTTTGCAAGATACATGCATGATTCAAGTTTGGCAGGAATCCATCAATCGGTTCTAGAGATAACGCGATAACGAGCTATTTTGCATACATAATGAGCCCCTTGACCTTTGACCTCGTGACCCCAAAATCTAATCAGTTCATTGGCTCTTCAATATACATGCATGATTCAAGTTTGGCGGTAATCCATCAATCGGTTCTTGAGATAACGTGATCACGAGAACAGGATGTACGGACGGACGGACAACCAGAAAACATAATGCCTCCGGCTACTTCGTAGCGGAGGCATGAAAAGACATATATCAACACACATACCATTCTTGCCCAGATAGGTAGGAAGCCTTTGTAAAGAGACCAGAAACCCTCCTGCTTGACAGACTTGAGTAAACAATCCATGGATGACTTGTAGAGAAGAGGGCGTCCTGATGTATCAGTACCCTGGTTCATTATTCTCGTCTTCACAACGTCTGCTGGGGTACTAACTATTGCAGCAACGAGACCTGAACATATGCTGGTATTTTCAAAGAAAGCATCAACAATATGACATGTAAGCAATCATTCACTTCAACAAAACATTGTTTAAAAAAAGAAAAAAGAACATTCTCTCCTCAAGCTAGTTAACTATGCATAAGTTAAATCTGTTCGGAATGCAAAAAAAAACTAGATGGAACTTCAACTGCACGCAGTCGGAAATGATGCCTCCGCCATAGAGCGATTTTACAACCAAAACGGGAGCAATTTTTAAAACTCAAGTTTGATTGTAATCCATTTACAGGTTCTTAGATACATTTAAGACCATTTAATCTTTGACCTCATGACCCTAGAATCAAATCAGTTCATTTGCTCTTGAAGATACATACAGGTTTTGTGTTTGATGGTAATCCCTCCATCGGTTCTAATGATAATGCAATCACAAGCTATTTTTCATACATAATGAGCCCAATGACCTTTCACCTCATGACCCCAAAATCTAATCAGTTCATTGGCTCAGCAAGATACATACATGTCCCGAGCTTGATGGTAATCGGTCTATCAGTTCTAATGATAATGTGATCACAAGCTATTTTTCATGCATGAGCCCAGTGACCTTTGACCTTGTGACCCCAGAATTTAATCAGTTCATTGGCTCAGCAAGATACAGACATGTCCTGAGTTTGATGGTAATCTGTCTATCAGTTCTAATGATAATGTGATCACAAGCTATTTTTCATACATAATGAGCCCAATGACCTTTCACCTCATGACCCCAAAATCTAATCAGTTCATTGGCTCAGCAAGATACATACATGTCCCGAGCTTGATGGTAATCGGTCTATCAGTTCTAATGATAATGTGATCACAAGCTATTTTTCATGCATGAGCCCAGTGACCTTTGACCTTGTGACCCCAAAATTTAATCAGTTCATTGGCTCAGCAAGATACAGACATGTCCCGAGTTTGATGGTAATCTGTCTATCAGTTCTAATGATAATGTGATCACAAGCTATTTTTCATGCATGAGCCCAGTGACCTTTGACCTTGTGACCCCAAAATTTAATCAGTTCACTGGCTCTGCAAGATACATACATGACCTAGGTTTGGCAGGAAATAGGAATCCATCAATCGGTTCTTGAGATAACGCGATCACAAGCTGTTTTTGCATACATAATGAGCCCTGTGACCTCTGGCCTCGTGACCCCAAAATCTAATCAATTCAGGAATCCATCAATCGGTTCTTGAGAAAACACGATCACGAGAACGGGACGTACGGAAAACCCCAAACAATGCCCCCGGCTACTTTGTAACGGAGGCATAAAAGTAGTTTGATTTTTGTAAATAGGAAGTGTAAATAACAAGTTGTGCATAGTTTGGTACAAAAATTGATTCCACTGAAGGGAAATTCAAGGAAATTCAAGCTTACGGTAGTCAAATTACACAAAGTGACAGAGGGAAATGGTGGAATACGTCGAGTTGTTGAAAGTGAAATCATAATTGTTGAGAAAATACTTTTCACATCCGCGTATCACAGTTTACCAAGGATATTCTCATATTTTCCCTGACAGAATGAAAGCTTTATATCTCCATTAGTCAAGGTACTACCTACTGTACATGTAAGCGTATCTGCACAAACTCAAAAAATGCAGCAGAACAAACAAATGGACCCTCATTGGTTACAAAAGTGCCATAAACAGCTCAACACATACATCTTGTCAAAGTAAAAGTCCCCTAAATTTATTTTTGTTATCTCTACATTTACATTAACCTACCAGTACCTACCTCGATAGACCATGCGTGACATAGTTATCTCTAAGAGTGGTGTGATTTAGAAGAAGGTGCTTTACAGTGTCATATGTTGTTAAGTCTGAAATAAACATTGATAAAGATAGTTTCTATCATCATTTAATTAAATTGAGAATACTGGTAATTTCCTTCTACTGCTACATTATCCTAATAAAATTATCTAAAATTAAAAGAAACATTGACATTAACTGACAAAAATTTACTTATTGCCAAATTTTTGTGAAAAAAGGGGAGTCTGATTTCTATGGAATTCAATCCTTATTTATATATTCCTGGGGCGGTATTCTGGACCCTGTGTTATCTCTAATATTGTTGTATCTTTGGAGATAAGATAAAGTTGGTATTCTGAACATTGTTGTAACTTTTGTGTTATCTTTTGTTGTATCTTTTCTCTCATCTGTTTGGTCGCGCCTGCGTTCAAACTTTTGTGCGCTTGTAATTGTGCTTATTAGTAATAAGATGGCGCTTAATCCTCATTTGCATATGCGCACAAGACTCAGAGATAATGGCCCAAATTCACAACAGTGGTACAAATCCCCCCCCCCCCCCCCCCCGGGTTTAAACTAATAATAATAATAATAATAATAATAATACATATGACTTGTAAGGCGCCAAATCCACTTGATAGTCAAATGATCAAGGCGCAGCTTGTGCAAAAGATGAAATACATACATGATACATTTATACAAAGTGCGATAGGAAAGGTACAGACATGAAAGGTTATGGTAATCAATTATAAGCTAAATTAAACAGATATTTCTTAAGATTGTTTTTTAACACTTCAGTAGAACTGCTATTCTTAATCCATAGAGGGAGAGTATTCCATAATGAAGGTCCAGCATGAGCGAAGGTTCGCTCCCCCCCCCCCCCCCACTTTGATTTAACCCTAGGAGTAACAAGTAAGCCAGAGTTTTGAGAACGTAGCTGTCTAGAAGGAAAGTAATGCTTAATCAAGCCGATGTTATACTGCGGAGCAGAGCCATGTATACAGTGAAATAATAGCAAAATAATCTTGAAAACAACACATTTTTTTACGGGCAACCAATGGAGTGATTTGAGGACTGGTGTGATGTGACTGTACTTGTTGGACAGGGTCACGACACGAGCAGCAGCATTCTGTAATCTTTGTAATTTTGCGAGTAGGTTGTGAGGCGAACTAAACAAAAGGCCATTACCAAAATCCAAGCGAGAAGAAATTAAGGCATGAGTAACTACCTTTGTGAATCAGAAAATCAGAGGTTTAAACCTCCGAGGGGGTTTTGCAGGCGCGGATCCAGGATTTTCCAATAGGGGGGGCCGGAAATTTGAAAATTGCGCAGACCATTTTTTCAGCTCAACCAATACCAATACCAATACCAATACTGACAAGGTCATATTAGAAGCACGATACCGGTAGAATTTTTGACATTTTCATCGGGGGGGGGGGGGGGGGGCTATAGCCTCTTGCCCGGAAAGTAATTTTCTGGTTGCATAATTCGAAATAGTGAGCGAAGCGAGCGAGCAACAATAATTTGTGAAAGTGTTATTTATCACCAAAATAAACGAGAAAAGATATCAAAAACTCATATTCGGGCAGCTCGCTGTCCCCCCCCCCCCCCTCCATTACGCGTGAAGCGCGGAAGCTTTGACCCTTCATTAATTGTTACTAGAGAAGGAAGACGATTTGTTGTACCTTTCTCGACTCTTAATCCTTGTCTGAATTCAGTTTCCTCCTGCCCGCGCGAAGCGCGGAAGCTTTGGCTTTTCAAAGCTTTGGCCTTTCATTAATTATTTGAGAAAGAAGAAAATTTGTTGTACCATTCTCGACTCTGTCTTATTACTTGGCTGAATTCAGAGAAAGATGATTCGTTGTTCCATTTTCGACTCTTAATCCTTCTCTGAATTGAGTTCCCCCCCCCTTCCGCGCGAACCGCGGAAGCTTTGACGTTTCATTAAATTATTAGAGAAAGAAGACGATTCTTTGTACCATCCTCGACTCTTTATCCTTGTCTGAATTGAGTGCCACTCCCCCCCTCCCGCGCGAAGCTTTGACGTTTCATTAAATTATTAGAGAAAGAAGACGATTCGTAACTCTTAATCCTTGTCTGAATTGAGTTCCCCCCCCCCCCCTCCCGCGCGAAGCGCGGAAGCTTTGTCGTTTCATTAAATTATAAGGGGAAAGGAGACGATTCTTTGTACCATTCTCGACTCTTAATCCTTGTCTGAATTCAGTTTTTCCCCACCCGCACGTAGCGCGTAAGCTTTGACGGTTCATTACATTATTAGAGGAAGACGACTAATCGTTGTACCATTCTCGTCTCTTAATCCTTAATAGTTTGAATTCAGTTTTTCCCCTCCCTCGCGAAGCGCGGAAGCTTTGACGTTTCATTGAATTATTAGAGAAAGAAGATGATTCGTTGTTCCATTCTCGACTCTATAAATCCTTGGCTGAATTCAGTTTTTCCCCGCCCGCGCGTAGCGCGTAAACTTCTGACGTTTTATTAACTTATTAGACAAAGAAGACGATTCGTTTTACCATTCCTTGTCTGATTTCAGTTGCCCCCCCCCCCTCCCGAGCGAAGCGCGGAAGCTTTGAAATTACATTAAATTATTAGAGCCTAAAGAAGACAATTCGTTGAACCGTACTCGACTTGTCAGAATTTTTTTTTTCTTTGTCTGCTCCTTTTTCGTCCTATGTCCTCTTCCTGCCCCTACCGCCCCTGGCTACGCGCCTGCTTTAAAGGGAAAATGAAACAATCATGATTGTGATAGCTCACAATTAGGTTAGTAGAAATGAAAGGGAGAAAAGATCTATTACACTAACCATGGATAAATTACGGCCGGGAGCGTCATATCATAATTTTGTGTTATCGGGCGAGGGCCGGGGCGTAGCAACCAAGCAAGATTTTGCAATGTTGAAATTATGCATTCTAGAAAACTCCGCTATATTTCTTTCTAGCTATATTTCTAAATTTCCTGGGGGACGTGTCTCCCTATCGGGCCCAGGATTGCCGCCCCTGTCCATGATTACTACCAACATGAGTTCAAATACAAACACGAGCGAGTTGGTATGAGCTGAATCCAAATGAAGGGCAAAATAAGAGTAATGAAGCGGCCCAACCGTTAATTTAAAATTTGACTGTTGAGTATATAGCTTCTATTTAAAAGACATCCAAAATATTGTGCCCTTTTCAAATTTCTCACTAAAGAGTGATGACCTTTGTAGCGCAGGGGGCTTTTTTTCACGTTTAACTTTGAATCCGCGGCTCGAGATTTTATGCGGCCGGCCCGGCCCCCTCTATTCAATAACGTTTGCCAAACCTTCTGGAATGACCCCAAATCTCCCGATTACAGTTCTCCCTTATTCATCGTTACTGTCACTTTAATAGCGCCATTTCCTTGTCTTTCCCCCTTTCTCACCGAATCCCCCCCCCCCCACCCACTTACTATAGGGTACGCACATGTATGTTCCTAGCTCTCTTTGAAAGCACCCCTCTATCTCCGGTGTAAGTCAGTACGGGCCGGATTTTTGTGTATTACGGGCCGGACTTTGTTGCGTGAAAAGTAACTCTTTATCGGAAATTTTGGGAACACATATTCGGTCCCTCTGACCCCGGAGTGGGAGGGAGGGGGAGGGGGGGGGGGGGGGGAGTTGGGCTTTCTTCTTTATCTTTTCTTTTCTCTTCTCTTCCTTTTTCTTTTCCCTTCTCCTTTCTTTTCTCTTCTCCTTTTTTTCTTCTCCTCTTCTCCTTTTTTTTTCCTCTTCTTTTCTTCCTCTTTTTTTCGGCCTTTTTTTGCGCCGCCAATAGGGGGGGCCGCGGCCGTTTCGGCCCCCCCTGGATCCGCCACTGGGTTTTGTACCACACCCATGGTACAATCCCTCTTTGTACCACTGTTGTGAATTCGGGCCTATATGACAAGATAATTGGTATTCTGAAAATTGTTGTATCTTTTATCTTATCTTATCTTGCATGGTATTTACAACAATATTTACAACAGGTAGGGGGTTGTTGTATCTTTCGTGGTGATATAATGGCGGCAATATTTCTTGCCCAGAACCAACTTTGTGCCAATATAGGAGTTAGAAGAAGATTGTGTGTTGACCGGAAACATCACAGATGGGAACTTTCTAAGAAATTACATGCTAGAATATGACAATTTTAATGCTCTCATCTTAACCAATATAGTGAAAGCGTGATTTGTCTTAATGATCCACATGCCAAAGCACATATGATGACGCGCGTAATAAGCGCTCAACTAACTAATTACGCCCAAGATGCGCTAGGCCCATCTTCAGATATGGCATAAAGTATTCCTATTGGTTGACCTACTTCATGCTTATATAAAACAGATTTTGATTGGTAGGGTCCATACAAATGGGCGTGTCAACAGTGGTCCAAGATAAGATAGAGGCGGTCCTTCAAGAGATAACACAGGGATAAAGTGATGTTCAGAATACCAACTTACAACAATATTAGCGCTGTGTTATCTCTGGGAGATACAACAAAAGATAACACGAAGATAACAGAATACCACCCCTGGTGTCAAGTGCCATATATGATAACATAATAAAAATAGATACAGTGTGCAGATATATTTGTATATCTACTCATACACATTTTGAAGGACTCTAAGCCTCTAAATCAAAATTGACAAACTACAAAATATAAGCTCTTCTCCTGGATGGGTTAACCTTAAAGGTAATATGTGCAAAGTTTTGGTATATGGTCATGAATTTGGTTTCAAATGAATATATTGGAAGCATATGCGATCCTACAATATTCAGTGATCGTTGTCGGGGTTGAAATTGAGTCTAAAGTTATGAAATTGTAAATAATGAACTCTTTATGTTGTATAGCTCCCTCTCAAGGTCAATATATTAATTAAGCTATAAAATAATGTTTCTTGGCTAAAATCGACCGAATAGCTATTCCCGTTTGGAAATTATATATCACAACTACATTTTCTGAGATTTTCATGGTCGCAATTCGAAATTTATCAAAATTTACCGGGAGCACCGGTAAATTTTTATATTCCATTTTTCTCGAAAGCAGAAGTGTTTTAGGGGCTAGATTTTCTAGTGATTATAATACATCCACAGGGGCATCCAAATATATCAGAATTGTAAAGAATCACTCTCCAACCAATTTTTTTTAAATTTCCCAAAACTTTGTATTACCTTTAAAGACCAAGTTCCTTCCAAAAATAACTTACTTTCAATAAAAGCAGAAAAATCAGACAAACCAATCCCAAAAAGTTTGAGCAAAATCGGATATCTACCGGTAATAAGAAAGCTATGAAAGTTACATACTTTCTCAAAAATTCATAACTTTCTTATTAGTTATCCGATTTTGCTAAAAATTTTGGGGATTGGTTTGTCTGATTTTTCTGCTTCTATTAAAAGTAGGTTATTTTTGGAGTGGATTTGTACTTTAATTCATATCAGGGTTGACATAGAATAGTCTCACCTCCCATGTTGACGAGTGCTGCTCTTTGTACATTAGGCACCCAACCTTTCCATAGACCCCTGATACCTCCATCGTGAAGGATCTCTCGGAAACACTGGAATGCTGTATTTACCCTTCAATAATAGCATAAAAAAAACAGTAACAATGTCATCATACAAAGCAAACATAGTACTTTTTCTGTCTGTTTATAGCCTCCTACAAATACTACGTACCATAATTTACGATTATTGAGATACTTTCATAATGTTCATGAACCTGTATTTCATTTCTCTGTGTTTTTTAGCATTCAATGATTTGAAAGAGGGAGTGTGATGGAAACAGATGGGAATTCTGTTTGATCATACATAAATTGAGGTTGGTACACAAATGTAAATACAGGGTAAAAGAAGCATAACAATTTTAACCACATGTTGGTCTTTGGCATATAAATGATGTCATTTAGTGCCCCCCCCCCCCCCTCCCCATAAAAAACAAGGAAAACGCTCTCGGTGGTCTCGCCAGCATTACGCATTTCGATATGATGAAAAATTGAGGTTGGGACATTATTAAAAAAATGAAATCCTCTGAATAAATCAGCATTTTCAAGTGAATATTGACTAAGAATCATCAGATGAATTATTTACTATTATTTGTACCAAGATTGATAACTTCCATGAAATATGAACAAATAACAAAAATGTATGTATTAATTCTCATATTTGTGTCATTGATTAGTGATACTTGATAACCCTTATGTTCAAGTTTCATGGAATAGGAATGCATAATTTCAAAATTATGATAAAAATTCAAAATGCTACAACATACAGTGTGTTTCTATTAAAAGCCATTATCCGGTTAATGGCCGATAAGGGGTACATTTTGCCTAATAGAAACTGACCTTCTCCGCTATTATCTGGATAATGGCCGTGAGAGCTGTGATGCGTTCATGGGCAAAATTATCCTTCTTTTAGAAAGATAATTCAGGGAAAGCTAACTGAATAACGTAAGTAGAAACTCATGCCGTTCCAATGGAGTGCACATAACGGAGAGAAACCAAAAATCAGAGTGATCACTTGATCAGAATATTTGATCCCAACACTAACATCCCAGGTTGACCTAGCAGTCCCACAATACTTTGCAGTGACCTTAGCCAAAGTTCAATGAACTTTTATTCACAGCCTTTTAACCCGCTAAATCAGAGCAGTGTATTTATATCCGGATAATGCGCTTACATGTAGATAGACACTGTCCATTCCCTGGTATTATACGCCATTTTCTAGAAAACATATTAGCCGGATAATTTCAGTATAACTAATAGGAACACACTGATAGACTAAGTTTGTTGACCTGAAATGACCTTTGACCTTGACTTTGTGACCTGAAATTCTACTCACATAATTGGGGATACTTGACAACTCTTTAGACCATGTTTCAACGAATAAGAATTTATGCTTTCAAAATTATATTAAACATTCATGAACTTAACCTTATGCCTCAGTCACACCTTTGCGCATTTGGCTTGCGTATTGCTGCGTATTGATGGCAAGCCGTTTTAACATTTATTCCTATTTCTTGATATTAAGAATTACCATTGCTTTACAACAGAAAATCACTTCTTGATACCAAGAATTCATTTCTTGATATTAAGAAATAGGAATAAATGTTAAAACGGCTTGCCATAACTTTGCAGTAATACGCAAGCCAAATACGCAAAGGTGTGACTGAGGCATAAGATTAAGTTTCTGATGTTGACGCCGCCGCAGTCGCCGTTAATCAGAAAAGTGGCGCCTATGACTGGGGTCAAATTCAGTATCATTTTTTTTTTTCATTTGATTCCCCCATCTACTGGTACCAGTGAAATTTCCTGTGTTATTGGAAGTATGCTAGTCTCGTTTTTTTTTTCTTGGTCACTCTATATCTACAGTCAAACCTGCTTTAGTGTCCACCTGTCTACCAGTGCAAAGACCACATTTTTTCCCCCTTGAAAAAAAAATGGTTTCTCATTGAAACATGTACTAAAGGAACCTCTGTACAAACACCACCTCTCTACAAAGACCACTTTTTGTGTTTCCCTTGGGCGGCCGCTATAGTCAGGTTTGACTGTTTATATATATATATATATATATATATATACCGAAAAAAAGTCATTATTTCTTGTATTTTTGTATACCAGTACTCCCTTTTTCATGTCTCTGTTTTCCTATTTAAAAAAAAGGAGTATTTTGCTCAAGGTGTAGTATGTCCATTCCACTCTTCCAATTTGTATCAAATGGCACACTACATGTAATCATGGACCTATTACGGATGGACATTCGACGTGATTCTTTCTTTGATCCAATGAGATCCGCCGCCTTCTGATTATGTGCATCTGAATGAGAACATTCCCATTTGCAGGCCCAAAAAATGAAAAGGTTAAATTCCAACGACATTTGAAAGATAATACTAATTTAGAACTTCCCTAAAAAAAAAGGGGGATTGAAAATGTCTTTAAGTGGGAAAATAACGACTATTAGTTGTCAAATTGACTTAAGAGCTATAGAGCCAGTAAGTAATAGTCTGATTTTCAGACCATTGTACCGAATGGTTGTACGTTTCATGCTGCACAAAGATTCAATCAATTTAATCTTGGCCATTAAAAGAAGTGGGTTATTGATGTAGACAAATGCTCATGTACCCTTTACAGCTCATTTTATATATGTTATTACCAAAGAAGGAAAAAAGCCAGTCAGTCACTCAATAGTGTCTGACAGTGAAGTTTAGCAAGTAAACTTGTTTCCTTGCATAATTTAAATATTAGGACTGCTAACGTTTAAATTTCACAGATAGGACATACAGTGTACATGACATATTCATAATTCCTGCAAAGTTCTACAGAATTTGATGTTGGCTACAAAAGGGACATTGTATCTTTAACAATAACGACTGCGTAAGCATTTTCGGTCATTAACAAAGGAGCATTTTACCTCTCTTAGGTTTTGTTTGGATGGTGTGGTCTGTAAGAGTGTGTCTTAAATAAAATTAAAAATTTATTATTACTGATTCGCACGCTTTCGCACGAACCAATGACCTTATAAAAGCAATTAGAAGACCACGATCTTTATAAGCCCTGTGTGTTGTAACTCTGAAATATTATGAGAAAATTGGGGGAAACAGAATTTTAAATCACAAACAATTTCCAAATATAACCTCTATCTGGTAATATCAACATGTTTTTCAAAATAAAACACAGTACACAGAACAACAATTTCTGATTATATACCAGAACTGCACATCGATTTCCCATGATTTAAAGATACTATGTCCCTTTTGCAGCCAACATCAAATTCTGTAAAACCTTGCAGGAATTATGAATATGTCATGTATGTCCTATCTGCGAAATTAAAACGTTAGCAGTGTCCTAATATTCAAATTATGACTATGTTAACAAACAACGAATGTCCATTCGTAATAGGTCCATGATGTAATACCGTTTGCATTTGGTCACTTTTCATACGATACAAATGCCTCTACTTCCTCTCTACACATATTTTGACAAACTTATCAGCCAGGAACGTTGACTGCCCTCCTTGTCATAAGTGTCATCAATAAGATTGTTTGATCAGTAAATATACAATTAAATGGTCAAAGTCCACAACAATATTTCCCAGGCAAGCAACTCTTGGAGACATGGTTGGTGTTTCTCAGAGAAATCTTTTGTTATGAAGTACAAGTATATTTGCTAAAAATGCAAGCTAGGAATGAAATTTAAACATAGATTCGGAGTACATATACTTAGCTACATATTGGTTACGACGTACATGTAAATAATAATGACACACCTAAACTATAATATTTTGTAGATACAGAGCTCTCAGATATAGGCCTATACATTGCAGTGGTGAAGCACCAAGTACCGGTAAGTATTAATATAGTGTAAAGTATTTTGATCAGTAAAATGTTGAGGTGGTGTATCAAAGAATAACAAACAGCTGTAAAATATCTTGAACCCATTTCCTGCCTCTCTTCTTACAAGACCTTAGACTAAGTTGAGATTTTGACTTTTCTTTCACCTCCTATAGGAACAAATTTCGGAAAACACATGCCTGTTTTTACATGTAGCTACTTCAAGAACATTATTACAATTTTTGGGAAAAGTTAATAAAGAATTTTGAGGTAATGGTAATGAAGAGGACAGGGTATGCATAGCCTACCTAGGTGGCCTTCCTTCTAATCTCCTGCGGCCTTCTGTCTGCATCTGTACCTTGACCAGGTCTGTAGGGCTGGACAGGAACTGAGCAAAAGCTCCTGCTGTTGACCCTGCTATTATTGCCTTCCTGCAAACACATTTCAACATCAAAAAAATATATACATGGGCAAGTCCAAGACTATTTTGTTCAATATGTTACACAACACATCGAAGATCTAAGTCTATCTGATGAATGCATCAAGCCGATTTCGCTATTAGAGGTAGAATCTGACCAAAAAAAATCAAAGAAAATTACATTTTAATATCACGTCCACAATTCAAAAACATGATGTAATAATACTTGATAACATACTTGATATACATGTTCCTGTAACTTGGATTTGCCCAATCGTAATGAAAGGCAAAGTTTCACGTAGGGGTTTGGATTGAAATCTCGAGGTCTGTATGCAGAGGAGGCCAGTGTTGAAATAACTTTTGCAAATATGGATTTAGATTGTGGGCATGTGTCCAGAAGCCTGGAGAAGGCAATCTTGGGTTCTGGTCAACAATATGATTTTCAATTGAACCTATCAAAAAGGTCAAGCAGTCCACAAGAAATGGACGATTTCAGAAATCAATGCCATTCTGGCAAGAACAATGTTGTGTCTAGAATACTCATAAGGACATTGTGTCTTCATTATTCATGACAAGTTGATACAATACATCAATATTATACTTATGATGATGTAAGTTAGTTGGAATATACATACCAAACTGAAAATGTGCCATCTGGATTCTTGCCAAATAATCTGTCTCGAATGTATTCATATGAACCCATACGACAACCAGTATACACTGTAATAAAGATATGAAGAAAATATATTTTACAAACATAAAGATTAAAAAGATGGTGATGTTCAAGGCTTGTCCCAGCTGAAAATAAAATCTGCTTAATTTACATGTCTGTAGACATAAGTTTTATTTTCTTTTTGATGCCGAACTTAGAAGTCATTAACATTATACAAAAGTTCAGTGATTTACATTACACAGAATGAAAAAGAATGCATGCATCAGACAAAAATATCCAACATTGGAACCCTTTTGGTATGGAGAAAATTAGAGAAACAGATTATGTTTTCCATCGTTTCTTTCTGAAACTTGCTATGTTGGGTACAATTATTTTCAGAAAGTGATTTACATATTTTTGATTTTATTCTTGTACTTACCTATATGTCTGTATATTGCAGGTGTGACTCCCTGCCATAGTTTTAAAAGACCTTCTTCCTGAACTAAATATTAAGCAAATGAAAAAAAGAGATTTATAAATAAATCTATGCAGCTATTCTAATACTCAGGGAAAGTATGATGGAAATGTAATCAAATTATGAACACAGTTGACGCTGCAATGTACAGGCGCACCTAATCACACTAGAAGAGGTGTTGTACAGGTGGTGTGGTCTGGTACAATTATCTCACGAAATCCTTTTGAATATTCAACGGTCATCGAAGCACCCGCGTTGCCAAGCTCACTTTATTACCAAAAATTTCCCCCTCTCATATTTCCTTTGTTTGTCAGCAGATTTCGCTCAAACTATGAGGAATGATGTAAAATGTGGAGCCCCGCAAGCTCAGGGGTTTTAGACGTTTAATTACTGTCAGGTGAGCATCCAGGAGCCCGCCTAGAGCCCCTGGTGGTGTCCAGGGTGTGGAGCCCCGCAAGCTCAGGGATTTTAGACGTTTAATAACTGTCAGGTGAGCATCCAGGGGCCCGTCTAGAGCCCCTGGTGGTGTCCAGGGTGTGGAGCCCCGCAAGCTCAGGAGTTTTAGACGTTTAATTACTGTCAGGTGAGCATCCAGGGGCCCGCCTACAGCCCCTGGTAGTGTCAACATTTGGAAAAACTGAATATTCCACTTTTCAAAAATATAAAGATCATTAAGGTTAATTGTCATATATGCCAAATTTATATCAGGTTTGCTGCGACACTTTCCCAGCAGTTTCACGTAAACAACGTGTTCATCCAAAAGAAAAGCAAGGTCAAATAAAAACGAAATTGTGGGTTAATTGCACTGCTCCCCACCACCTGCACAGTCGAGTGGACAAGTCACTGGAATATACCTCACGAGGCACTGGGGTACTGATGGGGAGGCTTGGAAATAAAATTCAAACATGGTTTATTTCAAATTCGATACCAGTGATTTACAAATGTTGCTGAAATGACATGATCTTCCTGGATTTGTTCTCACTTTTTTGTAAATTAACAATTTGTGTGTGTTTGTTGGAAAGTGACGCATTCCCAAATTTACAGTCGGGCAGAAAATATGCTTATTTAGAAGCTTACATACCAGGGCTCTTTTTTGAAAAAGTATGTTAAAGTGAAATGGAATGAGAGGTAAGAAAGAAAGAAAGAAAGATGACAAGCCAGTGCCACAAATGTGGTATCAAAATATGCTCATCTGATGGTAATTAAATGCCTAAAACCCCTGAGCTTCCTTTCTTCCTTTCTTTCTCTGCCCCCTGGACCCCACCAAGGACCCTCAGGCAGGTCCCTAGATGCCAAACTGACCTTAATTTAATGCCTGAGCTTCTGAGGGCTCCGCCCCTGGACCCCACGCCAATTAGTGACCTGCCCCTGGACCCCACCTACCTTGGGCTCTAGGCCGGCCCCTGAGTCCTCATCTGACCGTAATTAAATGCCTAAAACATGAGCTTCCTTAGGCTCGGGCCCTGAACCAATTAGTGACCTGCCAGTGTCACAAATAAGGTATCAAAATATGCTCATTTGACTAAAATCATATGCCTAAAACCCCTGAGCTTGCGGGGCTCCAATCCCCTGGACACCACCAGGGGCTCTAGGCGGGCCCCTGGATGCTCACCTGACAGTAATTAAACGCCTAAAACCCCTGAGCTTGTGGGGCTCCACACCTTGGACACCACCAGGGGCTCTAGACGGGCCCCTGGATGCTCATCTGACAGTAATTAAACATCTAAAACCCCTGAGCTTGCGGGGCTCCACACCCTGGACACCACAAGGGGGTTTTGACGGGCCCCTGGATGCTCACCTAACAGTAATTAAACGTCTAAAACCCCTGAGCTTGCGGGGCTCCACACCCTGGACACCACCAGAGGCTCTAGACGGGCCCCTGGATGCTCACCTGACAGTTATTAAACGTCTAAACCCCTGAGCCTATGGGGGTCCACACCCTGGACACCACCAGGGGCTCTAGGCGGGCCCCTGGATGCTCACCTGACAGTAATTAAACGTCTAAAACCCCTGAGCCTATGGGGCTCCACACCCTGGACACCACCAGGGGCTCTAGGCGGGCCCCTGGATGCTCACCTGACAGTAATTAAACGTCTAAAACCCCTGAGCTTGCGGGGCTCCACACCCTGGACACCACCAGGGGCTCTAGACGGGCCCCTGGATGCTCACCTGACAGTTATTAAACGTCTAAAACCCCTGAGCCTATGGGGCTCCACACCCTGGACACCACCAGGGGCTCTAGGCGGGCCCCTGGATGCTCACCTGACAGTAATTAAACGTCTAAAACCCCTGAGCCTATGGGGCTCCACACCCTGGACACCACCAGGGGCTCTAGGCGGGCCCCTGGATGCTCACCTGACAGTAATTAAACGTCTAAAACCCCTGAGCCTATGGGGCTCCACACCCTGGACACCACCAGGGGCTCTAGGCGGGCCCCTGGATGCTCACCTGACAGTAATTAAACGTCTAAAACCCCTGAGCTTATGGGAGCTGTGGACCCCACTAAGGGCACTATTGTCCTTTGGCATGGCATTAATCATGTCGAGAAAGGAATTATATCAAGTGGGAAGACTCAAGTCAAATTGATTTTTCTTCATCTAATTCTCGCTACCCCAAATAGCGATTCTGCCGAGATCCGGGGAAAATCCTGAAAACGCGCATTGCATTATGGGATAGCTTTTCGACATTACAGCTTCCTGTGCAGGCGTTCGTGATCACAACCCTCTCTTTCACGGTAGAGTTTAACGGCCTTTTGTGCTAAAGTCACTAATTCTGCCCGAAGCTTTCCATTGCATATTATAATTTGTACAAATTACACTGATTGGCATCGATTTTAGCGTGCGTGAAAACTCTGCACAGCGAACACAGGCGCTAGCGCCAGTGGGATGGGACTCTATACCGGAAGTTGTAGTGACGACCCGAGAGAGTGAAAATTACCTCGTCTCGCGAATTTCGAGATTTTCGTACCTATTTAGGGTAGCGAGAATTAAACCTCCACAACACAATTCTCATCCAAATGTCTGATCACTTTACAGTCCTTATCCAACAGTTAAAGGCCGTCTGAACTAGTTTGGCCAGGGGGATTAGACCACACAGCGTGGTCACTGACAGGTGGCTATCTCATCAACTCAGCTCTCAATTAACATAAGAAATATGAGGATCATGGGGGACCAACATGCACCGATTAGGCAATGTTTTCTATATAGAGGGAGCAAGTAGCTACAAGTAGTACAGTGTGGCTTTAAATGACAATTCATAATAGGAATTTACAGATAAACCTGTAATGATTTAAACTGGACTAACTTAAAGGTGTGTGCCCATGCACTTACCAATGCCTAATGCTGTCCTAACCATGCCCCTGTAAGGAATTGCTTCAGCTGTCCTGTAGTGCTTAGCTGCGGCAACCTCTCCCTGTATCTGCAATCTTGTCTTTGTGATGTCCAAAGGATAAGTGACTGAGGTGGAAAAAGAAGTGGAAGAAATATTGTGAAAGATTTAACGAGGGCTGATGGCTCTTCAATAAAGTGTGGAAGGATGCTTTTGAAAAGCTCTCTGGTAGGGTTAGCAGAGATGCCAACTGTTCCATTTTTTTTGTCGTATTTGTTCCGTTTTTTTGCTATGAATACGGCAGTACGTTTTTTGTATGTCTTGTTATGTTTTTTTATATTTTTGTTAATTTTTTGTTTTTGTTAATTTTTTTTTTTATTGATGTTTTTCTTAATTTCCGATCATGGCTTTGTGTTGTAAGTATATTATGCACCTTTGTCTTCAAACGATGCACGCGGGACGGTGAAATGGGCCCCAAACTGCGCACATTGCGAACAACCCATGTGTACTGTATGCATGTCACCCTCCGATCCGGGTAAATATATACTGCCGTGTTTTTAAGCTGCTTGATTGGGCAGAGAGGTGAGAGATTTTTTCAAAAATACTGTTTTTTGCTCTTAAGAATACTTTTTGTTCTTGATGAAGGTTGGCATATCTGGGTTAGCTACATAGTAATCATTTTCATAGTTTGAATCAAGTCCAAGGCAGGCTGTACCAAACAAAATTTCAAACAGGGAAGGAGTATGAACTGATGTATGTAAAGCACAAAGTCCCTTGTGGCCAGGCTCGCGCTTCAGGACTTGCTTTTAAAAGATAAGGGCTCCAAGGTACATTGGATGCACTTGGTAGCAATCTGAGCAACATTTGGAAGCATTTTCAAACAAATTTTATGACTAATATTTTAATTAGGTGGTCTGTCGATGACAGATCACCTATTGATTTTGTTGGAATTTTCTTTATTCTTTATTCTTTATTAGGTGGTCTGTCAACGACAGATCACCTATTGATTTCGCTAGAATTTTCTTTCTTTATTCTTTATTCTTTATTCTTTATTTCTTTATTTTTATTTCTTCCGTACACTTTTTTGTGCACACGTTTACTCGAAATCGACATGGTCAATTTCCTTTGAATTTCTGTCAGTCATCAAGCCCTATGATTTCAAGTCTAATTAACTTTTTCAAGTTCATGGGGTCATCGTGACGTCATCCAGGCGCCATTTTGTAAAAATCAGGTCAGTATCATATCTCGATAACGAGTCATCAAAAATCAACCATATTTGGTATACATCAACTTCAGGTCAAAGGTCAACGAAAAATGTCAAAAATTCTGAGCGCGCACCTCGACGCGCACGTACGCGCATTAAAATTTAAAAATGGTCAAATTCGTTCCAAATTAATTTTGCATACGTTTCAGGCCATTTTAAGCATTTTCAAAATTTGCGCGCGCGTAATTATGCGCGCGCGTTTCCGCGCGTATCCGCGCGTCCTGGCATTTTGCAACATAGAATCGCCAAATTTTTTCTGTTATCATATTTATTACATTTTTCCAAGCATTTTGATACCTTGTTTACCTGTTTCCGACCAGTAATACCGCAATTAGCGGCTGTCAAAGTTGAACGCACGCGCCGACCTGCGCTATCTGTATCCACAATACATGGGCAAAAACATGCCTATACAAAATTCATTTTAACTCTTCAGAATTGATAGATAACCCCCAATTTCTTTCATATTTAAATAGATTATGAGTTGGAGGTATGATTTCATGTCTCATTTGACCCTCAATTAACTCATGACGTCATCATAATGGCCTCCGAACTCAAAATTTCAATTTGCATATTATGACGTCAGCAGATTTTTGGAAAATTGATTGTATCTCTGTAAATATTGATCAATTTTGTTTCAAATTTTGATATGTTCTACCTGAGAATATTCTCTACAAATATAGTCACCACGAATTTTCATTTTGACAATGGTATCATGGCGTATTTTTGCGATTAAAGGAGGCATGTCAATTTTTTACATTTTGCGTGTATTCTCTATGGGACATGACTTTTTCTCAAAACTGGATTCTACATTCTCGTCTTTTGCGAGCAATATCTCCGTCGTTGTATCTTTGTTTACGCTGAGCTTTGAGTATGTTGTAGCTGAGACAATAAGCTATCACAAGTGTGCCCTTTATTTTTCGATCAGATGCCGGGATCATGCTCATATTTCACTTACAAAGTGGGATTTGAGAATTCAGTTTTCAGTTTACGTGTAATCTCTATTGGAAATGTTTTGGTATATCGGTAACGCACTTGACTTCCGACCTCGAGGTCCCTGGTTCGAGTCCGGGCGTTTCCAACAATTTGTTTTCTTCACTTTTTTTTCTTTTTGACCTTTCACTGTACCATCTCCTTTGAATATTAAAACACGTACAATCGCAAATAATGTAATAAACATTTACTTTAATATTACCCTATTATCACTTGATCCATTACTTTTGGCGTGTAATCCTTATGGCAGATGACTTTTTCTCAAATCTGGATTCTACATTCTTGTCTTTTGCGAGCAATATCGCCGTTATTTCGGCTTGATTTTTGTTGATTTTGGAGTATGTTGTAGCTGAGACTATATACTATCTAAATGTTCTCTCATTTTTTTCAGTCTGATGTCATCGTGGTCTGTTGATGATAATCATCAACATCATCATGATCATGATCATGATCATCATCATCATCATCGTCATCACCATTACTATCAAGATCATCATCATCATCATCATGATGATCATCACTGTTTACATGTCTATATAACTTCTCCCTTTCTCAATAAAGTAAATATTATAATCTATCATAAAACTTGAAGACAGACCACCTTAATCGTCCTCGTGACGATTTAAATTCTAGTAATTTAATTGGAATTGTACAAACACTCGCATTTTTTAAATTTCTTCCGTACACTTTTTTGTGCACACGTTTACTCGAAATCGACAAGATCAATTTCCTTCGAATTTCTGTCAGTCATCAGGCCCTATGATTTCAAGTGTAATCAACTTTTTCAAGGTCATTAGGTCATCGTGACGTCATCCAGGTGCCATTTTGTAAAAATCAAGTCATTATCATATCTCAATAACGAGTCATCAAAAATCAACCATATTTGGTATACATCAATTTCAGGTCAAAGGTCAACGAAAAATGTCAACAAATTCCGCGCGCGCACCTCGACGCGCGCATCAAAATTTTAAAATGCTCCAATTCGTCCCAAATTTTGTTTGCACACGTTTTAGGGCATTTTAAGCATTTCATAAACATCGCGCAAAACACGCATTTTTGCGCGTTTTCGTTCGTAGCGGCCAAACGAAAAATAATTCCCCTACCCGAACTTTTGACAAGATATTCCTTAACTTTTTCTGAACAATTTGATACCATGTTTATCTTTTCATGACCATTATTGACGGAATTAGCGTCCGTTTAAAATACACGTCCGTACGCGCGAGATCTTGTAATACATAGCATATATGGGCAAAAACATGCCTATACAAAATCCATTATAGCTCTTTAGTAAGTCCACAGAACCCCCAAATTGTTCTCATATTTGGATAGAATATGAGTTGGAGATATGATTTTAGGTCTCATTTGGCCATTATATATATCGTGACATCATCATAATGGCCTTGAAACTTAAAAAACGAATTTGCATATTATGACGTCATCATATATATAGAAAATTGATTGTATCTCTGTAAATATTGATTAATTTTCTTTCAAATTTCGATATGTTCTACCTGAGAATATTCTCTACAAATGCATTTAAGCGATATTTCATTTTGACAATGGTATCATGGCGTATTTTTGCGATTAAAGGAGGCATGTCAATTTTTCACACTTTGCGTGTATTCTCTATGGGACATGACTTTTTCTCAAAACTGGATTCTACATTCTCGTCTTTCGCGAGCAATATCTCCGTCGTTTTATCTTTGTTTACGCTGAGCTTTGAGTATGTTGTAGCTGAGACAATAAGCTATCACAAGTGTGCCCTTTATTTTTCGATCAGATGCCGGGATCATGCTCATATTTCACTTGCAAAGTGAGATTTGAGAATTTTATTTTCCGTTTACCCGTAATCGCTATGGGACATGTTTTGGTATATCGGTAACGCACTTGACTTCCAACCTCGAGGTCCCTGGTTCGAATCCGGGCGTCTCCAACAATCTTTTTTTTCTTTTTGACCTTTCACTTTACCATCTCCTTTGACTACTAAAACACGTAGAATCGCAAATCGCGTAATAAACAGCCATATTTACTTTATTATTACCCTTTTTTTCACTTGATCCATTACTTTTTGCGTGTAATTCCTAAGGGAGATGACTTTTTCTCAAATCTGGAATCTACATTCCTATCTTCTGCGAGCAATATCGACATTATTTCTCCTTGGATTATGTTGATTTTTTAGTATGTTGTATAGCTGAGACTATATGCTATCTAAATGTTCCCCCATTTTTTTCAATCAAATGTCATCATGGTCTGTTGATGATGATCATCAACATCATCATGATCATGATGATCATCATCATCGTCATCACCATTACTATCAAGATCATCATCATGATCATCATTGTTTACATGGCTATATAACTTGAAGGCAGACCACCTTATTCGTCCTCGTGACGAATTAAAATCTAGTTTATTTTTATTTCTTCCATACACTTTTTTGTGCACACGTTTACTCGAAATCGACAAGGTCAATTTCCTTTGAATTTCTGTCAGTCATCAGGCCCTATAATTTCAAGTCTAATCAACTTTTTCAAGGTCATTAGGTCATCGTGATGTCATCCAGGCGCCATTTTGTAAAAATCAGGTCATTATCATATCTCGATAACGAGTAATCCAAAACCCGTAATCGCTATGGGACATGTTTTGGTATATCGGTAACGCACTTGACTTCCAACCTCGAGGTCCCTGGTTCGAATCCGGGCGTCTCCAACAATCTTTTTTTTCTTTTTGACCTTTCACTTTACCATCTCCTTTGACTACTAAAACACGTAGAATCGCAAATCGCGTAATAAACAGCCATATTTACTTTATTATTACCCTTTTTTTCACTTGATCCATTACTTTTTTGCGTGTAATTCCTAAGGGAGATGACTT